TTTAAACATGAGTATGTGCTTACCAGCTACACAAATAATCTATCCATATTTGGATAAATGTTCCTCTATATTCAAAAGAACATATTTATATTATTTTAAACTTTAACATTTGTTTTCACCATGGTCTCTGAGCACGTTGTGGCATGTTGCAGGATGAAATAAACTAAGATGAATATATAAAGTACTGTACATTCCACAGAGAATTAATATCAGGCTAAAATAAAACTGCAGTTTTTATTTTTTCAAATACAGGCAAAGTAGTAATTACATTCATAGCTACTATAACTCCAAGTACAGGTCTGTGCATGAAGAAATATGATCTAGTTCTACATTTCAAGATGGAAAAAAGAATCTGTGTTCCACACTTTGATAGCATAAGTTCATTTCCATGTGGTTAAAGTGTTTTTTGCAATTTTGTTGTTCTACAACCCAAGTTACATCAATCAGTCCATTAACATATTGTCACTTTAATCACATTTAATAAAATTGAGTTTGCCTGATATCCTCTATTTTTTTTTCAGTCTAAAGAATATATCCAATATGTTGCAATTGTGCACTGTTGGCCATTGACTTTGTCCTTTGTCCTTCCCTCCTGGTTCCAAGCATCTGTCAATGTTAGATTGCTTGAACCTGTACAAAACTCCGGCAATGAGGCAGTGACTGTATAAAGTACATGTAAATTCCTCACAGGTACTTGAACACTGTTGCTAGTTATTAAATGAGTAATGGCTACTCTCAGGTGTTGAGACGATGGATGTAAAAAAGTAAAGGTAAAAATGATACCAGCTCATCCTAGTAGAATCAGGGGTGGTGCTGTGGCTCTGTTGCTAAGGATCTGTGCCTGTGGCTGGAAGGTTGCTGGTTTGTATTCTGTGACTGGCAGAGAAATCCTACTCTGTTGGGCCCCTGAGCAAGGCTCTTAACCCCAACTGCTCCAGGGACGCCGTATAAATGGCTGACCCTGCGCTCTGACCAACCCCATGCTTCTCTCCCTGTCTGCGTGTCTCATGGAGAGCAAGTTGGGTTATGCAAAAAGACAAATCCCTAATAAAAAAAAATATGGCCAATAAAGTGATCTCTTATCTTATCTTAAGTGGACCAGAAAGTATATAACTCCCCATACTAGGACACCATTCCACCACAGGGATTACAGTACCCCCAGCAATACTCTTCCCCACTTACATACTGTAGGTTGGTGGAAAGGAGCAAGTGGGGTAAAATCTTCACTAAAGCTAATACAGCAGTGTCTTTAAACTTAAAACTAAAATCATATTAAAATGTCTGTTAATAAAGTAAGCCTTTAATCTAGATTTAAAAACTGCACAGAAATGTGCATTTCTAATAAAAGAGGGTTATATTCTTATATAACAATATCATAAGAAATACAACTTCAGATTTCCTTCGAAGGTTTACTCTAAGAATGCACTGTATAAACCAACGGCAACAGTTGATCTCAGTGTTTGAACAAGCTGATAAAGAGTGAAAATGATCAAATTGTCAGGTCACGGTCCATTCACTGCTTATTATTTAACAGAATTTTAAAATAAATCCTGTAGCTAATTAGAAAGAAGTGCAGTGATGGCAACATAGGGGTAATACATGCTTGTTTTTGTTATCCTAAGAACCCTAGTTGTTTTGTACAGTATAGCTGTAGGCATGACAAGGCATGGCATTTAAGTACAGTCTTGAATATGGTAAGTCCAGTCTGGAAGAAATAAAAATACCAGCTACTCTCTTAGCAACAATCCAAGAAAAAAAGTTCAATTTTCAAGCCATATTTCTAAGATGATAACAATGCATTATTTGTATTATTTAATTAAATCTTGAGTTAATAAACCCTAAATGTCTCACTTCAGATTTTAAATTAGTGGTCAGGTTACCCACGTCTATTTATGTTAATGTTAGTTGTTGCCATGAGCCCAGTAACAAAACATGACTTACCTGTTGAGCTATCAGATCAGTTGGAAGGCTGCTGTTTTTTATCTGACAATTTCTGACATAGAGTCTTTGCCAGACCCTGGAGGAATTTTCAGCTTCCTGCCTTTCTTATATCCTAAGTGATCTGCAAGTAAATCAACCAAACTAGAAGGATGACAAGCTGTAGAGTATGTAATGGTGTCATAGGCTGTTGAAATTGTGACTGCCCCATATAACTCGCAGGACTGTTGATGCTTTAATACAGGCTTATGATTTTAATTGTAAAAAAGTGTCACATTTACCTATGCAACCTTCAAAATGTTTTGCAGGACTATTACTATGTATTTTACCTAATAAAAGCAGGATGAGGGCTATTTTTACTGATGTTTTTACACTTTTATAAAATTCATCATATTTTACTGATTCGTTAAAAAAATTATGTGGTCATCATTTAATAAAACATTCTAAGTACAGAATTGAGGTTCTATGATATATGCTGATATACCAGTAAAACATAATACAGTTTGGACTACTTACATAACAATGGAATGATTGATATACCAGGAAACAAATCTTTCTTTGAAGTTGGCATTAAATCAGATTTTACACACACATTAAGCCTGGTGTCTTTTGGCATTCCAGCAATGCCATACCATTCCAGTTATAAAGCAGTCTATTTACTCTGAAGAAAAAAGGCATGACATCTTGAAAACAGACATGGCAAATGTTTTTTTTTAAATATCACACAGGCTATTAGTTTCTGTTTATTTAATTTTGAGACGGCTGAAACATCATTGGCCTATATTTCTTTTTCTCACAGACTTGTTCAAATTGTTATTAGTAGAGTTTTGTGATCGGCAATGCTCTTTTTTTTTCTTGATTTGAAGTGCTTTGGAAAAATATACATGCTCTTTCAATGAGGTCCCATTTTGTTGAAGCAGAAGTAAGCAAGCAGAATTTTTTAAGTTCTGAAAACTAAAGGTAGAACATAAACAAGCATATAGTTAGCATAACTAATGTGTAAAAGGCAAATGAAAAGTCCAAATGAAGTTTTCATAGCAATTCCAAATTGACCACGGATAGTGTTTGAGTGAGGGTGAAGAAGAGGAACAAATGAGAGCCCCATAACGCCAAAGACGAGTCTTTCATTGTGCAACAAGGTGTGCGAGTTTAAAGTCCATTGGCTTCATATTTAATGTATGTGGACCAGCATTCAAGGGAACGGCAAGAAAGCATTCTCTCCTGACGATGGCTAAGGCAGTGCATCAAGAAAGTGGTGTAGGAACCAGAGGCAAGTGACAGTGGAAGATGTGTGGGTCAGAAGAGATGGCTACCTGAGATGAGTGTAATTGGTACTAGAAACAGGAAGATATGAAAGTAGTGTTTGTGGAGACTGATTATAAGTAAGAAAAGTTCAGGGTGCTCTGAGGAAGAGATTCTAGGGGTTGATGCAGTGTATAGAAAGAGATATGGAATAACTTCTGCAACGGTACAGAACTGGTGCTGGAGGCCCTGAATTTTTGAAAGGGTGAGCACACAAACCCCTTGGAACCGAAAACAAGAGAGGTGCATATTATGAATTGAACACAGATAGAAACCCACGTGAGATTTAGAGTGCCATTATAACGTGTACTATGAATATTCAGCTGAGTGGATAAGGGCAGATTTTGGCTCAAGTGGAACCCCAGAAAAGAGTGGCAATTATTACAGGGTACGGTTCACAAAACACAACAGAGGAATTAGAGAAGACTGTATCTGTAAAGATACTAAATAGACTGGAGTCCAGTGGAGCACTGGAGTTACAGTAGGCATCCTTTGAGGTCATAAAAGAAGCCACTGACTGGTGCACAGCAACGTCTGTCTCTGGTGAGAACAAAAGTCAAATGCAAAAACAGTATTACAATTGAATAAACAAGAAGTGTGATATTTAACACACTGAGATTGAAGTGGGTAAGATTAGGCCTTGAGTTCCTTCCAGACCTTTATGCAAATTACATTAAAGACTTGTGTAAAAAACTGAAAACATTATACTGCCTCAGTAATTCTGAAATCTAGGAAGAATGTGGATAGCAATATAAAAAAACTGAAATGTTTTTAAGTTGGTTGTGAGATAGTGGTAAGATAAGATCTTGACTTTTACATAAAAGACAATAATGGCCTTAATTGCACAAATATAAACTCAAATAGCAATATGGCCTGACTGACTACTCATTTAGTAACCTTTCTGTTACTTTTAACATATCTGTTAATAATTAAAAATAAAAATGCAGAAATATTGCTGGGGTTAACTTGAAGGTTAGGACTGGATTTCAGGTAGTGATTAAGCTAGATCTACAGGCAGGTTTTACAATGCCTAAGGCTAGAAAAGTTTGGTGTTCCTCAACTTAGATTTTCCAGGCACAAACTAGGTGGTTGCATGTTAACTACTGGAGTAATAAAAGAAAGAAGTAGTAAACAAATCCTGTTATCCCTCTCTTGATCTAAAGATGAGTATTGTTCTTATATAAAGTAATAACAGAAAAAAGGTCAAAGTCAAAGTCTATTAAATAATCTAATAGTTATTTTTATTTAGATAGAAATATTAATAATGGGACTAAAATAGTGCTTATAAATATAAGGTATCACAAAAAATATAATATTCTTAACATCAATGCTATATTTAAAAGTTGAAAGATTTTACAAATATTGTGACAAAACACATTAAATTATTAAATGTTATACAAAACATGATACACTTGTCATAATGTTTAATCTACACTAGTAAATCCTGTTTTTAATATACATTTTCTAATGTGACACTACTGATAATTTGACATTCTGATATTAATATATTTTAATACATTATGTTCTACATCAATCTTCTTCACATTTTCTGCAATATCTCATTTGTCTTTTTAACCAACACCACAACAGGTGGGCCCTGAAATAAAAATAACATAAAATGTGGTTATTTAGAGCTGTGTATGATTCCTCAGTCTTTGAAGCTTCTGATATTAATTAGTACATCTCAACATACATACAAATTAGTGGTTGTGTGTCATAGCAATATGGCAGGATAAAGAGATTGTTTCAATAACAGTCTGTTTCATTATTGAGAATTCCTTTATTGTAGTGTAAACTCTTCATTAGGCATACAATCATCCATACAGTATATACTGTATAACTGTAGCTTGAATTTACCACATTATTAACAAGCATGATATTTCATTAACTAAAACAGCTGTAGCACTTAGTCAATCGAGGTATTATTTTAAACACAGCAGTTTTGTTTGGGCATCTCTGACTCATTTTCCTTACGCTATAGTACATACACTTTGTACACATTCTCATACAACATGAATTTGAATTTGTACATAGGATTGTAAGACTGGGACTCTTGAGTTTTACAGTTAGAAGAGTGGAGGAAAAGGTTGGTGTAACTTTCTTTGCAAGACAGTGATATGCTGCTGTGCTGTTTGTATTTCCAACTTTTATGTTTGGACAGCAATGCTCCAGAAACCATGCAAATGACAGGATATTTGTATCCTATTTCTACATGCTGGTTAAATGATTTGGAACACAAGATTTTTTTTTTCCGATATCAGGTGCTATTATTTTGCTCCTTAGTATAAAGAAGTATTTTAGTAATTATGATGTACAAAAAACCAGAACATCTAGTTAAGACAAAATGTAATAAACACTTAAGCTTAATCCATTACTAGACAGTATTATGCTATGAATGCCCTAACTTCCTCATTAAAAACAGAAAGACAAAGATAGAGTTCAGGTAATTAAAACTACAATTATAATTCTAATTCAAGATTAATTTAAGGTCTGTATCACCGCCTCCGGAAACACCTCCAAACAATGGTGAATTCCGCTAAACCAAAACACCAGCCTCCATTGTAAAGGATTTTAAGGCTATAGAGATTCCTAGAGCAGTTCCATTACCATAATGGCTCAAATGGCCACCGACAGATACCTGGTATTCAATTGGTTACCTTTACTAGAGGTTAAAGAATATGCAAAAGATTTCAATTATGAGGGACCTGTTTGAAATTGTAAATATGCAATCAAATTAATGGTAACTGTTTAAAAAAACTATCTTGTTTCTGTATACCTAAGTGGTAAAACTGTTTGAATGCTCTGTGAATTATCTTTATGTAATTGTATTGTGTGTATACATTGCATAAAACAAACAGAACTACAGAAACTAACTGTACAGTAACAGAAACTTTGTTGTTATTGAAAAGCTAGAAAGCAGAAATTGTTGAACAGAAGTAAAAACTTTAAGTTGAATTCTAAGAAACAAAAAATCCTTATTTTCCATTTTTTTATTTTACAATGTTCTGTGAAATCATATCTGTAAATGGAAGCCAAGTAAATACTGCATGGTTGCATAAAAACAGACCATTATAGCAACATAAACACCCTTTATCAAATTCTGAAATGCTTTATCATCAGTGTTAAAAGTAATGATTTGCATCACTCTGTCTCAGTAGTTTTATTTTAAGTAATTTATAGTAAGAATACTATAAATATATAGTATAGTATAAATATATGTAAGATATACCTGGATTTTGTTAAGATGACAGAACATAATCACAGTGCTCACTGCTACAAATTAAAAAAAAAGTATAAAAAGTATCAAATTTGTCCAGTAAGTTAACATTTACGAGAGTACAGTAAGGTTAACAGTGCCTTTAGTCCTTTTCAAAATAGCAACTGCTTCTTCATGGGTGACTCCTTCCAGACTTTGTCCATTCACAGCTATGATCTGATCTCCACGCTTCAGGCGCCCATCCTCAGAAGCTGCTCCCTGGAAGAAATAACACCTGTCTGTTAACGCTCAACAGTGACTCGGTGTCTGGATTTTATATATCGAAAGAAGAAACAACTACAGGAAAACAACAGGACTTTCTTGAGAAGGATACACAGGATTGATTTCTGAAAAATCAAACATGCCTCAATGGAAAGAAAGTAAACTGAGCATGAACAAGCATTTTGTTCAAGAAGACTGGTTCACTGGAACATGTAAACCTTTATGCAAGTAGTGTCTATAAAAGGATAATCTACACATAATAATTCCATTTGGTTATGCTGATTCATCTGAGACTGTAAATGTTATGAAACCACGATTTAACTGTATTCTACAGGACGGCACATTTAATAGACTACTGCTTTAGCATAGTGTTTGTAGAGTCCTTTTTATTTCCCCTACCTTTACAAAAACAGTCTTAACATAAATAGGAAGATCTCCATGAGGACTGCCAAATCCTCCAACAATGCTGAAGCCCAGACCATCATGCCCTCTGTCAAGTGTAATAGTTTTGTATTGAGGAGGCCTAAAATAAAAAACGAGATTAAAGTGAATTGTGGAAGGACTTTCATAGAAGCAACTAGTATCCTAAATCTTCCAAACCATTCTATCCCACACATGTTCTTATTTGGTTTCATTAACAGTTTAATTGGACCTGATGATTATTTTACTAGTCACCAACACAGTATGAAAGACATGCACAGTCTCAATATTGTAGAGCAAATGTTTGGCTAGATAATTTGTACTAGAAACAAATAAAACCTATTATTTTTTATTTTTGAATTATATCAAACACAAAATATAAATCAATTTCACTACTTTTCTTTTAGTAGTAGAAAAGTACTAGTTACACTTTATCATAATCAGACTGAGTACCAACTATATTCCTTAATAACCTTGATTATGGAAAGAATAGTGAGTTAAACTGTGCTGGATTAATGAAATGGACAGAAAGGAGTGCTCTTATTTGGATTTAACAGTTTGCGTTAACAGTTTGCTTCAAGAGAGACAATAGCAATAATATGCAATAATATGTACTGTCAATGTTTTAGTGTACAACATATTTTTCCTAAGAAAATCTTACAGTTAACAGTAAAAAGGGAAATAAAACTGTATAATAGTTTTGGGGTCATACCCTAGGTCATCGTGAAATATGCTGCTTGCTGTCAGCCCTGACAGTGAAAGGCTGGCTGTCTGTTCATGGGATGAACCTGTCACACTTGCATCGCCTCCTGCACATACCTGAGAAAATTAAAAAAATATATTTTAACGTTTTTCTCCTTCGTAACATGTATATAAAAATTCAATATAGATGTCTTCTACCTTCCATTTCACGAAACTTCGGTTCCTTTACAGTGTGGAACGTAAAACTCAAAACAACTCTAAGTTGCTCAATTAGGTTGCTTGGAGTACAGATTTGAGCCTGGACCATATAATGACTAGACTGACAAAGATTCCCAGAAAAACACTGCACAAGTACCACCAGTCAAGTGGGCTAGAGGTGGTCTGGGTTTCCTTGGCTTATTGTGCAACAACAATTTCAGGGGTCTGTTGGATGCCTTAAAGCATGCAGTGATATTAGTGAGTGATTAACATCTTAGAACTGATATGCTGTGGCAGGGTACTAAGGAGCTCAGAATTTACTGTCCACCCAATAGGGTGGAAATTAGTTTTTTGGCATCACCATACAAGACTACAAAAAATGTGTATTGAAATAAATACACATAAAAAACAAACAATAGTCTTACACATGCAACAATACATACACACACATCTTGCTCTGCCCATACGACATTCCCATTTCACATTATCCAATAGCTCCATACAGGAAACAGTCACATAGCTTTCTTTAATATCCTGATTGCACATGCAACAATGTATTTCTTGAAATCAAAATTCTAAAACACCCCCATGAAGGTAGCAGGTGGAAATGGGAATGTAGAGGCAGGGATTCTTTAGTATTACATCACTTCTCCATTAGTCACACACTGTTCCCAAAGTTATGTCTATATACAGGGTGAGTGTGGCATTATAAAGTAAATAACATGTAGCAAAATAATCTGTTCAGGTAGACATACATATATATTTTGCATATAAGGGGCCACACTTCACCAAGCAATTCATGAACCTTAAGAGGTGCAAATCAGAAACAGCTTTCCTTGTTCATTAAATCTGGCAAGTTTCAATTTAATCAATATAGCAGCTACACATCATGGCGGTCATCATGGTTGATGAAGAATATCTGAAGTCTTAGTGCAGTTGTCAAGCATAAAGTTGTTTAGTCTTTAAACGCAAGTTTCAAAATTTGGAAGAAAAAGAAAATTTGAATTAATCATGGTGTGGACTTCAACCTTCAATTATACAGCATACAGAGTTGTATGATTAACAAACCAGTGACCAGTTAGCAAGGCCTAGCTATAATTTATATCAAGGAAAGGAAATCTTTATAAACAAAACAAATTATGCCTTATTGACAGCATTTTGAGAATTTAAAGACCATTGTGTGTGTGGTCTGGCCAAGTAAAGAGATTTTAACAGTTCATAATATATGTATGTAAAGAGGAACTGAAAATACAACAAGAACTATTGGTTCCAACATTCATAAACAGTATTTCAGTAATATTTTTTACATTAAACTGCTCCTGTTTTGAATACAATATGGACCCTTGCAGGATCTGGTACACAATGATATGGTTACAGTAACTATGAGTTCACACAACATCGGTGAAGTAACCTTTTCCATCAATATGTCCCCCATAGATTTTAAAGCTGTGTTTTCTAGTCTACACATTTATTCTCAGCATGATCAGGTGTCTGACACTTAATAAAAAACAAGGTCTGTAACCTACCTGTAACCCAATTGTCCCTGAGGCATTTTTTAACAAGGTGACAGCCTGGGAGTGACTCATGCCTTCTGTAGACGTTCCACAAATGCTAACAATCCTATCTCCTATCTGCAGGACCAAAAAGAAAAGTCATGAATTACTAAAAATCCCTGGTATTCTGGGTATTTGATCTAACACTGGTGTTCTGCATTATTCTGCAATAGGCCTTCACGCAAAACATTTATTATTAAGCCTTACTGTACCATATTTTAAGTAATTTATTTAATTTAAAGCATAATCTTTATTTTGTTGTGTGGAGAAGGTAATCGTGGGGTGGTGGTAGTGAGAGTTAGTGGAGAACTCTTTTTAAAGAAAAGCCTGAAAAACTCTCAGAAAGAAAATCTGTTTAGTCAGCTCACAGTAATAAAACATAATACTCATAACATCCAAGCTACAACTCTAAGTTAGCAAAATAAGTGCATTAACATACGAAGATTAAAACAATGATTTTAAAAGTGCATTGAAAAAAAAATAGATGAAACTATTTAAATAGTATGAACATTTTCAGAATTGCTTCATTTTTTAAATTATCACCATTAAATTAAAAAGTCTCATTTTTCTTTTACATGCTTCAGGTTTTCCTTATTAATTCCCACAAGGCAATGAACAATTTAATTAAACTTATTTATATTCAGCTGATATTTTCTTGCAGTGAACAATGGTGAATTCAATGGTGAACTATGCACCATTGTAAGAATACCAAAAGAAAATCTGCAACCAGCTGTGGAGCTTGTTGACCCTGAAGCAAATGTATGGTATCTGACACACTGTGAAGATATTTTATTTTCAATGCTGCTGAGAATAGAACCCTCAGTCACACTCCTGAACTAAATACCTACTTTTAATTTCTGAGTCTGAGCTGCCAAGCCAGTGGGGTGCATCATGGCAATAAAAATGGGGATATCTCCAAGAGGGCTTCCTACTCCTCCTGCAATGCTGATTCCTAAGGAATCCAAAGGGCCCTGTTGAAGTAAAACATTCAAATTACTTTCAATCAGCTTCAAAACTAATTCAAACAAGGCCTCCCAAAAAGCACAATTTCTACATACATATTGATGTTTTATATATTGATGTCAATACTTATACAGTATATTGATACTTATACACATTTTGCATGTAGTTAGGAAGACAGACAGATTCAGTTTATGAACACATTTAAAAAAATAAAAACTCACCTTAGTAAACTCAACAGTTCTGAGCTCTTGAAAGTCAGAGCCTGCTGGGGAAAAAATGGAATCTTGAATCTATGCCATTCATTTCTAAAACTTACATTACAGGAAAACACAGTAAACTGTAAAACATTAGATAGGTAAGACACAAATGAAGCTAAATTTATTGGGCATTTTATGAGTCTTAATATGTGATGTTCAGCAACAGGCCTGCAGTGTAGACTGCTAGATTAGTAACTGTAGATTGTAGACTAGTAACTGGAATGGTGGGGCTTAAATGCTGGATGGATTGGTGCTGTTATACTTTTAAAAAAGGTGCTGTACTCAGGTAACTTCCTTAAAATCCCTAAAAAATGCTACAATATTAAGTCACTTTGGGCATTGCCCAAATAATAATAACAATTCTCACTTTGCAAAAAAGAATAAAATATACTTTTTTTTATTTGCCAGGCTTAGCCTAATTAATTTTTGTCATGATATCCATACCAAGTATTGATGTTTATATGGCACAAGAAATCAGAGAAGGAAACTTACAATCGAGGCTCTTCCGTCTGCTTTCAAAGTTATCACCCAAACCACTTCCAGATCCAGACAAACATGATGATGCACCAAAGCTGCCTGTTTCACTAACCTGAATTTTAAAGTTTTAAGATTGTTACAGATAAATTAAACCTATACACGACTTACAGAATTGATATGAACCCGCGCACATACATCGGTTCATACAGACTGAATGATCTGGGGATTGAAGGGAGCAAAAATTGTTGATTTGATATAGGAGACTTAGAGAAGTGAAACCAATTAAAACTTTGTTAAAGCTATTTTAACAAAGTACAGAATGTCCCTATCATCAGATAAAAACAACATTTAGTTTCTTGCAATACTACCTCAATGTGAAAATGATTAAATGGTTTCTGGGATTCCCAGTCAATGTGTAGAAAATGAACGGACCTTGATTACCCAAGTACACACACAAATTCAAATTGGTCTGCACTGTGTACGTTGAGTTCACGTCTCAGATGTGCTCAAGGTCATTTTTACATGATTTTTCACATCTTGAAAAATCACATAATGCCTAGCACTCTACAAGGCTACAGAAATATTGAAATGTTAAAAGCTGGAAAGGTAATAGCTCTATGCAAGAAACCTCAAGAGGCAGATTAAATGAAGAGTAGCTGGACTGCCAGAACCAATACAAAGCATAAACATTGCGATGTAGAAAAAAAAAAATCAATTCACATAGACCAAAATTGTACTCTAATACAGTATGTGTAATCTGCTGCTGTATATTATGGAATGACCTATGGTAAAGAAATTGGATGCTGTACCTGACTGCTGTGTGATAATCGCCTCTCCGAATGAAAGGGTCCAGCTTTATATCTCCCAACTTCTAGAGTTATTGTTCCAATGCAGCACTGGAATGGAAAGGAAATTCAAATAAGACATCCACAAGTGATAAGATTTAACTGACCTATTTTATGTTCCAGCATTCTATAAATCTAACATGTCAGTATCACTGTTGTACCAACAGTTTGGATTGTAAAACAAAAAAAAGGGTTAACTACTATTTTTAATAATATTATGATTTTATCATTAATTAAAAAACAGATAAAAAAAATCTCTAAGACTATGAACTGTTAGATATGTATATCATATGATAAGGTTTTAAGAAGAATAATTAACCTTGCTTCAGTATCTGCAGTGAATTGTGTTTTATATTAACTTTATGAGATTATTCAGATATAAATTCATTATATTAAATAATCTGCTTTATGCCGTGGCAAAGTTTTGATAATTTGATATAATGTATTTATTTTGAAGAATGTATGTTTTAAACCTTCGGGTTTGTAGACTTTTAAAATACCTTTAATAAAGCAGCGACAGATTCTTGTGTTGCCGACCGAACATCTTCCCCATTGACAGAGAGAATCTGGTCTCCTTGCATCAATCTACCATCTGTATCAGCTATTCCCCCTTTCACAATGTCTGACACAAAGACACCGGTGTCATTCCTATTTAAAAAAATGAAGGCAATGAGGCAGCTGTTCATGCAGTGATAAATAAACTTAGTCCAAAAATATAAACATTTTATGAGACATAAAATTCATTCTAAATGCATATTAAAATAATTTCTATAGATTTTCACTGTAAAAGAGAAAGCGTTCTCAACAAGCACCAAATAGAGTCAAAAGAGAATGAGAGGAGAAGCTCATTGTATTACGTTGAACTACACAAATCCTTAGAAAACAAATCAGGTCATGAGTACACATGGCAAGCAATAGCTAGTTTTGCACATTTCTCCAATAGAACTTATGATAAAATAATTTTTTTAAGCATTTGAAACAGAATGTGGTGGCTTATAATGGCTAATGTGTCTCGTTTTCTGCAGCTTTAAAAAAAACAGGAAACATCCAGACATAATTCTAGTCTAGCTTTAACAATGCTATTTTACAGAAAACACCATGCAGGTGTAATTTTTTTTCTGTGGGTAAGTAGTTACCAAACATCTCTACAAGCTTCTCTTTTCATGTACAATCCTTGTGTTTAACAACCGAGCTTGATCATTCAGTTGACTGGAGGAGATCTGAAGGGGTCAAACCCTTGACCTCCCTTCGCTAGTTGAATAAACTTGTTGCCACTTTTAATGGGCTTGAGTCAACAATAGGTCAGCTTTTCAGCTGTTTCCCTCTGAATTTGCCTGGCCTGCCTGAGACTCTACAAGGGAGAGAATCCTGAAGCTTGCAGGGTCATACAGAGGTCACAACATCTCGTAAGAAGGAACATTTGATCTTAATTTTGTACCTTTTCCCAACAATACTGAGGCCTAAACCTTCACCCGGTTTCTTCTGCAGTTCCAAGAAGAACACATCCCACATGTCATCTTCTTTGTACTGGGCCTCATCCCTGTACACTGTCAGACGCACTTTCTGGGGGGTTTGTCTCAGAACGTTGATTGCCTCGTCGTGAGTGGCATTTCGTAAATCAATTCCATTAACCTGTAGAGAGACAATGTACATGTGGGTAGGTATCAGTCTATTTAATTAATGAATAGAGACTATGCACAAAGTCACCTTTTTAGTAATTCACATTCTTGGTCACAAAAGAAATGTGGTAATTTAAAAAAAAGATGTAACTGAGATGGAAAGGAACAACATCAAAACACAGGCAGACCTCATAAAGGTTTTCTTAAAACATCTATGCAAAATGCACAGTTTTAAACCCCAAAAAGCCACAATAATTTTGCTACCACAACCACTAAATAAAATATCCACCTTAAATGCTAAAAGTGATTCAGTAACATAAAACTTTATTTCTACATTGTCTACTGCTAGTTTTAAACCATGCAACCCTTTTAAGGTTACTTTTAGAAAATTGGAAGCAAATTAACCATACCTGATATTGATGTGAAAGACAAAATGACACTCAGTTTAATTACTATTTTTCCTCCTCTGAACATAATTAATATTTATAACTATAGTATTTAATATAAATATGTTATTTAAATGGGAAGCTGTATTCTATTCATATTAGTCACTGAGGTTTACACTTTGCAGAATGCTACAATACCATTTAATTATTTGCAAAATGTGTAGATGTATTTCACTAATTATATATTATTACAATATTTATTATACAACACTTCTGAAAAAAATATGACTTTATTGTGATTAAAGCCTTTTTGCCTCTGGAGTGCTGCCTTTGGACATATTATGGTTTCAGCACTACTCAGAAATAAGCAACTTAACAATTCAACCAACATTCTTTACTTTTGCCCTCATATGAATTTAATCCAAATGCATTAAATACAGACAGAGGTAAATAAATCATAATGTACCTCCAATATCTGGTCACCAGCCCAGAGTCTTCCATCTTTGGATGCAGCGCCTTCTTCATACACTTCATGAATAATGATGGCTCCCTGCAAAAAGGGATGTTTAAAATTCACTAAAGCACATCTAGCTTAAATTAGGTTGGTGTGTGTTGACCTTAGATCTGGATATTGTCTTATGACTCAGGATGACAACAGCATAGTGAATATCCAGAACACTTAGGACAAACTCATGCAAAGTAAACAAACAAAGCGTTGCTACAACAACGTACAGTATTACACATATCTTCATCTCACAAGATATTTACGAACATAAGACTACATAAGGCATTCACTTCAACGACATGGCTGTGTTGGGTAGCTTGTACCAGTCCCCCAAGACCCTTTGAGTAAAAAAGTGCCACCTGTTCTAGGTTTTATTTTCCAATTGTGTCATTGGTTGATGCTTTGCTGTAGATTCAGGGGATGTCCTCTTGACTTCTGTGCAAATCTTTCCAGGTTTCATTTTCTGTTTTCCAACGTGTTTGTGAATTCACTTTAATTTCACATAATTTGCAATCCTGTCATATTTAACAATACCCGTGATTCTCCACTTCAACATCCCACAAAGAGAATTTATCTCTTATCTGTACTCTCTTGTTTTCTGTTCATTAACCATTTCTCCATCCAGACACGTGCATTTCCCTGCCTGTAATTTGTTAATTAATACGAAGTACTTTATCAAGAGCTTTTCGAAAATCTAAATATGCCATATTGTATGCTCTGTGTGTGTTAGTTACTGTTGATGCTTGATCAAAGAGCTCTTACAAATTAGTTAACAACTAACTTTTATACAATTATGTTGACTGTGTTCAAGGATCCTTTTTCAATATAAATGATCCTCTACTTTAATTCAAATTATAATATCCATTTCCCACTTTATTGACCTCTACATATTCCGTGTCGCTAAAATGTATAATTAAATATTCCAATAATAAGTACTGCCCCGCTTAGTATTAGAAATACTGTAGAATTTGTTTTCGAAATGAACATATTTTCCATAAAATACAACATTTATTGTTCAACTTTTAGATTGTTCAACTTTTGTATTAATAGGCATAGTCAATTATACTTTTACATACTACTAATTACACAATATTTAATTTTCAAACAGATCAAAATTGAGTTCATTTTAATCTGTGTAAGTTGTAACACTACTAAGGCCCTTTTCTTATGCGGCGTTACGCGGGGGCGTGGCCAGTGTGGAGGCGGAGCCCTGGTAGAAGGGCGAAGCCTCGCCTTTGTAGTCACAGCTGCGCCGGCTCCACGAGGATGAGCCACAGCTGGGCAGGATCTATAAAGGCACACTGGACACCCCAGGAGGGACGAGCAGGTCCACCCCCGAAGGGGGACTGCACCCATTTAAGGCCTTTTTTTTTTCATTTCTCTTTGTCTGTCCCATCACATATTTTCCCTGGGGTAGGCACACCTTTTTCTTTTGCCCTTCTGTTTCAATATTTTTCACCCTTTTGTGTTATTTCTGGTCCCTGCTAACCTCACACCGGTGCTTCCATCCCTCTGTTAGGCGCGTTGGCTTTTTACTGGTGCTTGCCGCAGCGCCTCCCACTCCCCACTGTCACACTTAGTAAATTGTACACATAGAATTAAATGTTGAAATTCATAACATGTAATGTGATCCATACATTCATATCATCATTAAAACATTTTGTCTTTACAGTCTACTTGACTTACTTAAAGCCTTAATGAAATACTGGAAGCACTTCCCTGCAGTACAATGACAAAATGCACAATTTGTTTTATCTCGTATCTTACCAAGAGTGTATCAGAGCCTCCAACAATGCTCAGGCCAAGCCCAGTGCGTCCCTTAGAAATGTCAATGGTGGTCTCGCATCCAGGAATAATAGGACAGGTGACAGGGTCTGATGCCATAGTTGCAGGAGTAGATGACCTGCTTGCATCTAAAAAAACACACATTTCTTCTCTTAGTGTACAAAGAGTTTGAAATCACAGATTCGGCAGATTGACTGGTTTGAACAAATGTTTTATAAATATGAAGTCTGTGGAAGATGTGTTAATGAAAAAAAATGTTGAGAAATGTATCGCTGATGGTGATACAGCAACACACATGTCCAGCTGAACAAAACAAACACTATTGTTTTCCAAGAGAACAGTGCCAATACACAGTCACGGCTCACCACTTATAATGTGTTTTTATTCATTAAAAATACATTTAGTTATAATCTGTGAAATTTCCAGACTGAACAAATGTTTAATAAATATGAAGTCTGTGGTAGAGGTGTTAATGAAACACAAAATGTTCACTGTGATACACTTAGGCTTTACATATCTTTTTTGGTGTTAAGCATACAAATACTAGAACTGAATAGATATAAAGATTCTGTTTACATGTAAGTCACATTAATACTATTCATTTTTGCTTTGTAATGTTAACGTTCCTCTATGATATTGTTTATCATGAGATTATGAAGATTATTTCTTCATGTGCTCAACAGAACCTCCACTGCAATCCATTAATGCACTCCTATGTTGATATCTAAAATACCTGAAGAGCTCTTAACAATGATATTTTCTGTGTTAAAAAAACAAAAACCATCAGACTGGAAACAATGACAAAATTTGTTTAAATCAAGTAGAAATTTTGAATAATATTAATAGAACTTGTATGGTCTAACGCAGGGGTGCCCAGTATGTTGAATAAGTCGATCAAAATGTTTCCAGACGAGAATGTGATCGATATGATCACCACTGTTAACACTTTCAAATGAAAATTAGAATTGCTGGCTTCAAAGCTACAACGTCATGACCTAATAAACTTCCCAAACGCAGTATCTGAGCTGGAAGAACAGGGAAAAGAAAATGCACAGTTTGACACCGCGCATTACACAGTGCAAATTTAACATGTCTTGTTGGACTTAGACTTTGCAGTACTTGAGCCGAATGCGACTTTCATGTGTTTTCCATTTGGAGCAGAAACAGATGCTGATGCACTCGCCGCCAAAATCGCCTCATTGTTTCACCTTGATTTATCAGCACTTGAGGATGTAGTAGATCTTAAGCTACAAAAGTGTAGGCACCCCTGGTCTAATGTGATAATTTGTATTGTAATTAAAGATCCATTTTTAATGGTTTGATGGACCTAATAATAGGACAATGCATTGTTTAAAATGAAAATGTGTTTAAATAAATGTTCTCAAAATATTGTGACTAACTTGGCATTAGTTATTTTAGAAGTGTTTATCAATTTTTTTCAGTATAACCTGAAACAACATAGGACAAAAATGCAGCAAACCAGGAAAGTGTGCTAAATTGCATGACACTGCAAAAAATCATAATTCTCTCACTTTTAAATGGATCCACGTCAGAGATGAATGCAGTGGGAAGGGACTGGCTTATCTTTACATCAGAAGCACTCTCTGGTAGATTCACACAGGATGAAAGTGATGATAAATCCTCCGAACATATTGTCAACTTCACAGTGCTCTTTGACCTCTTCAGCAAATTAATAACCTAATACAGGAACATAACATAATATGAACAGTACAATTTTAATTTTAAGAAAGTCAAAATTTAGGAGATTAAGTTCTGTGAATTCAAATAGTTTTAATTACAACTATAATAAAATTAGAAAAATAATTATCTTACCTTTTCCACAGGGCATCCTACTACAGTTTCATCATCTACTGCTAGGATTTTGTCATTAACTTTAATTCTCCCATCCTAATAAAAAAAAAAGTTTTATTATGATCATTTTTCAGAAGACATTATACTGTCCATAAAAGCTTGTTTCTCTTTCTCTAAGGAAGAAACTTTTAAAAGTATGAAATCATCACATTTTATTTTGAAAACCAGAAATACAGTTTGTTAAAATCAGTAAGCAATCCTGTCTCACACCAACCAATTTTGTTTTTTGTATTTTCATAAGCAAGGAAGATGCCAGTTCTTCAATCTTATATTTTATGGTATCCAATTCTGGTCCTGGTAGAACAATGTATTTCACGTTTCTCATTTCATCTTAGCTCTTCATGACCTAATCAGCTGATTATTGTCTTAAGTAGACTGACTTGGCACTTGAGGTGATGGAACTTTAAAGAGGGCAAGAACATCAGTAGATACATGTACACCAGCCTTCCAAGGCCAGGATTAGATACAGTTGCATTATTCACACAAAACACCAGGATAAAGTTTCGCTCTGTACCTTCCAATGTTTCTGTTTAAAGCCTTTCATAAGACTCATAAAAATCAGCAAATTAAAGGCTAATAATAATAATCAGGTTAAAATCCCGATTTACTTTTTGCCTTTGCAATCCATGGAATCAGTTTGCAGAAACAAGACAAACTGGCAATTCAACAAGGAAAAGAGCTTATTAACACTTTCACATGGAACTGGCGTTTTTAAATAAGTTTAGTAATTCCACATACAGAAAGGGCATTCTTTTATACTTCCTGCAAGTACTTTATAAAACACTTTATTATACTTTTGTAACACATACTGTATATATATAAAAGGTGAACTGTGGAAAGTTTATTTAAATATATTACGTTCAATACAAATATGTTGCCTTGCAGGTTGTGTGTTTTTTCTCAGAGAGTTATTGCATTTACCTTTCCTGCTGCCCCATTGTCAGTTAAACTCTTTATCACCACACCTCCACTTGTATCCTCCTCACTGATGGCAATTCCCAAACCTCCTTGATCCTGTGTTTTTTATATAATGGAAGAGAAGTATGTAAGTGTTAGCAGGGAAAAAATAAATTACGGCAACATGATGCATTTGGACAACTGAATAATGAGACTACAGCTAAGAGAAACTGATTTTGCAGAATTACAATCAATGTGGTTATCAATTAATTTCATGAAGTTATTCTATTTCAAATGCAAACAATTACAAATCATGGTTTGTTCCTTTGTTGGATGAGGGAAAGCCTCACCCACAGACAGAACTTCACTTCAAAACTAGTTTATCAAGCAGCAAAATTTCAAAAGAATATTTTGCTCATGCATGCCTTTCTGGATGAGGAAAAATTATGTAAGTTTGCCTGTTATTACATAAAACATATTACATATTACATAAAAAAATATAGTTGACAAACATGCATCATGTTTTAACCAAGAGTGTAGTGCACACTTAAGATGCAAGAAACAACAAAGACTTGAAATCTTCAATTCAGGCCTGCAAAACTTACCTTAGGCAGGATGATGTGCTGGATATTTTTGAATAAATCAAAATCTATCGCTGATGGTGATACAGCACACATGTCCAGCTGAACAAAACAAACATCATTGTTTTCCAAGTGAACAGTGCCAATGCACAGTAATGGCTAATCATTAATTAATGTTTTTATTAATTAAAAATACATTTAGTTATAATATGTGAAGTCTCTTTAGGCCTCTTGACCATCTGGCCTATTCTGTAATAGCAAGACCACTGTTAGAACTCTAGAGTGCCACAGAATTGCCATTTACAAAAGATATACAATTAAAGATATACAATTTTATTAAAGATATACAGGCATCTCTCTACAGTCTCATTAAACATCTCATCCTTCTTTCTAGGATTATTTGCCTTACATAGTAAATAAGGTACAGCTGTCCAACAGAAAGGTTAAAAAAACTTCCCACCAAATATGAACGTTACCTCGGTCTGCGATTCTAACATGTCTCCACATTCTTTCACTGGGCCTGCAGCCATCTGATTCAGGGCATCGGTGTTCCTGTTTTGGCATTCGAATGTCAGAAACCCAACAGCACTGTATCTTGAAAGCAGTTCGATAATTATCAGGTGATCAAATAAAGGAAAGGTTGCATTAAGGTTTGGTACACATGCCTGTGTACTTTGTGGTACGGTAACTTTTATGTCATTTAATGCCCATGAAAAAAATCAGTTAAAAAATACAGCTGCAAATTTGCAAGATCGACTTTGGTGTGGTGTGATGTACAATGTGCAGAGGAATAATTTATCGGGTATTCTGCTCCATAAACCATAATGAAATAGATTGAATTTTAAAGTCTCGCTTATTAAATATAATTTGTAACTCTCGTTTCACTACATTAGAATTGGCAGGCTAATACAGAGAACAATTCTATATAGTTAGTAAAAGCAAGGTGATTGGAAAGCATTTCTAGTAAAAAAAAAAACATTTTAAAATTAGCAATTTTATTTAAATTACAAAATGTACTAAAATGTCTCCAAAAGGTGAAATTTCTTTAAGAATAATAACCAGATTAGAAAGCTATATATGATCCATATGTTATGGGAATTTGACTCAAAACAAAATTATGTAGAGGTACATAGATACTGTACACATATTTTTGGCTGAACCTCTTAGAGCTTTATAATAAATTCCAATAGAGCCCTCTACTGGCTAAAAACAAGAACTATAATATAAACCGTAAAATACTTTATACTGTACATCCATTACAGGAAGATATTTAAAATACAATAAATATTTTACATCTGAAAAGTGTTCTTACCTGATAAAAATTATTTTGACTTTAGAGGGTGCACTTTTGATTATGGATGATGCATTCTGATGGCTACGGCCATACAAAATTTGTCCATTTATCTGTTGATGCAAAAATATTCCTTCATTAGCATCAACAGACAAAAACAAAATCCACATATCAAACTGTACAAAAAACATATACTGTATAATGTAGTAGTGTACATGAGCTAAACTGTCTCATTACATGTCATGCTGAATGTTGCATATTCCATGCATAGTTTATTGTAACACTACATCAGCTTCAGTATAGCTGCTATACTTTGTATTGTTTAGTTTACTGAAATACCAATTGCTATATTTCCTGCAAACCTTTTTGTAATATAAAAATGTTAAAAACTGAATACATATATCTGTCATTTACTCTAACTGGAGTGATTTTTTTGTTAGAGGAATGGGAACAGAAAACACACAATAATCTTAAATCCATACAGGAATAGAGAGAAGGCAGATCACATCAATTAACAACCAGCTCCATGGCAAAGAAAACACAGCTTACAGTTGGTGCCACAAAGAGACTATGTTTATAGACAAAGAGGAATGTGTCTAGCAAACGTAAACTTTAGAAAAAAAACAGATTATGGTTTGGCAAAAGATGGCATATGGGCACTTTCCCAGGAAACATAAAAATATAACTACCACATATCTTATTAAAGTTTATATGTTCTCGCGTACCAGGTTTTTAATTAATTCTAAATATGCAAACACACTCAAATTCAAATCAGAATGCAGCACAATTCTATGTCATCCACTCAGCCCCTGTGTTCCCAGCAGGACCCCAGTAAGTCACTGGTTGCCACTGACCTCTAGTAATTCATCTCCAACAAGGATCCGGCCATCTCTTCCAGCTGCTCCGCTCGGATCAATTCCAACTACAAACACACTCATTCTGGAACGGTCCTTGTTGCCAGCCAAGCTGAGCCCCAGTCCCGTCTTTCCTTTCTCCAGCTCAATCATGTGCAGTACACCAGGTAAGCTGCCATAGCGCTGTATGATCTTTTCTGAGGGGAAGATGTCAGGACGTTTTATCAGGAAACAGTAACTTAGCACAATATTTAGTTACACTGAAAATGTTTAGATGCAGATATCGAAAAAAACTATTTGACTATACTTCAACTATGAAGGGAGAGATATAACTTTTTTATAGTTTTCGAAATTTAGATTTTAATAACTGAGATACACAAAGACTATTTTTTTCTGAATAAAGACATTCACTATTATTATTATATTATTATTATATATTTTCTTATTTTAATTTTTATAACCCCCAACCAAATTATCCTTCCTCTCTGTGTAAGAAAGGGCTTCCATAATTCAAGGAAGCGCTATCATCCAATGAAAAAGACATGACCAAGATCACACATGACTGTTTGTGTTGTCAAGGTACTTACTCCAGCTGTAACCAAATTCATCCTCTTCTTCATCTGGAGAGTCCATTGGCAAGGCAAGGTTCTCGGGCTCCATCAGTGTGTCCGTCTCTGTCTCACCAATAGGGGGCACCACTGGGAGTGAACTCACCAGTGGAACACTTAGAGAAACCTTTCCTGCTTCCAAATCCAATCTGTTTGATGGCGCCTGTTGTGTCCATAAAAACAGAAATAAAACACAGGTAATGGTGCATCAATACCAAATTGAATCAAATAGAATGAAGAATTTATATTTAAATTTTGCAGACTGAGATACAAACCATGCTGTACATTGGTACTTTATAACTGCTTCCTTTGATGATTTTTAGCAGTTTAAATATGTCTGTAATTGCTAATTTCTCTAATTTTATCATATTCAGCACTATCTCATACCACAGAAACACATCTGGCTTTGATTAGTATTTTTATTACTACCATCTGTTGAGTTACTGTATTATCAAATTCCACAGGAAATCTTCACAGCAGTCCTGTATACATAGCAGCTCATATCTAGGAGATAATCTGAAAAGCCATGCAATAATATCCGGCCAGGGACTGTCACAGTAATAAATAAGACCTATGATTATGAAGTGCTTACTACTGATAATCATGGAAAAGGAAGAATTGTAGTTACTCTTTATTTTTGAAGTTGCTAATCTCATACATTAATGACATGTGACTTACGTACAATTCAAACATAAAATGTACTTTTCTGTTATTCAAGCATATTGTTATGGAACCAGATTTGACTATTGGTTTTTTAAAAACACTTACCTTCAAACTAACTGAAAATTGGTTAAACAAGCTGTAATCTGTTTTTATAACTGAGACACTGTGTGTACATACACTATGCACACATACATAGTTATAATTATAATTACAAAAATAATGTTTATTAATGTAAAGAAATTGTATATAATAATATATACAGTGATTTATTCTAAAGTGCTCTGCCACACCTCACAAAATATACATTTGTTAGTTATTTTAGTAACGCATTAATCCCACTGGGTAGGGTTGCCAAAACTACTGGACAATTTAAGTAAAATCACCAAGGAACATCATTCATTCCTCCACATTCCTCCCCCTGTCATCCTCTACTGACTGTCACAACAACTGGCAGTATTATTACTGTAAGGTGCAGTAACATTTATCTAAATTTATCATCATTATTTTTTATAAAGAATAAAGTAACACTCTCCATTAAGAAGTACAGTATTCAGTATGTGCTTCATACTGGCTGTGTTTTGCGGCCCTTAATCCAGATTCATGCAACCAGCATAGATCGAAGTCTACGCATATTAAAAGATCACTTTTCTTCCCACTTAAATTAATTAGCAGCACAGCCTGGAATCTTCAATCTTCAATACTAAATTAAATGACAAAGACTCTCACCAGTTTCAGAGTATCGCACAGATCATAACGTGGTTCAGTCACTCCTCTGGAAATTTGTTTTGGTGTTAATATAGTACCAAAACACCAGAACAGAATTTCTGGGGTTAATATAAACTGCGTGGTGAATTCCCTGTATATAACTTTTTATGTGTGTTTATGGCATAGTAAAAGTCAATATTCTGACATGCTGAAATACTGAATGAAAGTAATTATTTTAGTAATTCAAGATGAGGTAAATGATTATGAAAATACAAGTCATCTGGCAGCACAATTGGTGATGGAATATTTTTAACAGTGTGAAATATTTGGACATCACATCAGTGTTTCATTTAAGTTTTATTTCCTGAATTTAAAAATGGTTTATCGTGACATTTTAATGAATACACGCTGGGAGTGGCTATCAATGACTTATCAGTTGGTATGCATTTCTCTTTTATATTAAATGCCTGTGTAATCATTCCTGTTATTCACCAGAAGACCATTATTCTATTTATTATGTAATTAGAAATATTTTTAATTTATATAGATGGAAAATGCATGACAGGTAACAAAGCCTAACCATTTAATAATTGAATTACCAATGATGTTAATATAATTCCAATAATTCAGATACATTGTTAATCTAAACAATATAAAAAGGGAACAAACAGTAGAATCACATGTATATAGATATTCAATATCTGAATTATGTATATTTATTCATATACACATTCATTCACATCACACTCAATATATAATGTATAACATATACTGTACTGGATGTGTGAATAAACATACATGGAAGGTGACGCCACTACAACACACAAAGTCCCACAAACCTTAAATGGAGTAGGAGCAAAGGGGTTAGTTGGGGAGAGGCGAAGGAAAAGTCTACTGTGACTCTCAGATCCCTATAGCAACAGAGAAAATTCAATAACATATAAGACAAAGGGCAGCTATCACATAGTTAAGTTGTCATTTTTTAGATATGTACATCAAATATACATAGAGAGTGCTGCGTATACAGGTATAAAAGAGCTACATAATTATTTTTTAAAATCCTAATGAGGACAGTCTAATCACTACTAACCTTGATTTTTATTTCATGTTTGGCAATTACATTTGACGTTGGGATGCACTTCTCTTCATTTGATTCTGTTGTCATCGTCTGATGCATGTATTATAAAAAAATGAAAAATGTAATTCTAAAAAAAAACAACACTTAATAAATAAAAAAATATTCAGGATGACTAAATCTGTACTGTAGCTAAAAGGGGCTGGGGATATAAAACTTGAATCTTACTCTAAAGATGTTATTCAAGAAATTGCAGTGCAGTTAAAAGCGGAAAAACTGAAGCAGAAATTCTACAGAAGGGGCAATAAGGACAGGAGGTTATAAGATAAGACACATCCAAGGCATTATGCACAAAATGTTTGACACTAGTGCAAATACGGGAAGCAGACACCATTTTCCCCATGTGTGTCTTTTTGCCACCCAGCCTGCCATTATTCTAGATTTTCCATTCTTCACAGTCATGTAACACCTTTTTTGTCTGTAAAGCATGTTTTTTTAACATACAAAGTTAGAAAAAATGAGTCTAAAATACCTCAATTAAAAATAGTCCCCACTAAAATAGTACAGTATAACCTTAAAAAATAATAAGAAATGTGTAGATAAGTGGCAAAATCTTAGAATGCCCAGAAGATGTGATAGCTAATAAGGAAATGTTTTCCTGAGAAAAGATTTAAGCAAAATTACTGCAAGATGTCTCCTGTTGCATGTTCATTTGAGGTAATTAATAATACAATTTCAGGAACGTTTCCATAGTAATTTAGCAAGATTTTATATCAGAACCACCAGTGTATAATTTCATTCTACTTAAATTTTACTTAGAAGATTTCATTAGAAATTAGAATTCATTATTCTTTTAATTATATTTGATTTACCAATAACGTAGAATCCTGTGGATCTAAATGAAGAAAACATTGTTTTCCTAACACTTAACACAGGTTCTAATACTTTGTTTTAAGACGAATAGGTATTTTTTTTCTTTCCTGGAAACTAAAGCAGAGTAAATGCTTAATTGCAATGAAGACCATGTTAATATTGGGTTTTAAAGCACGAAAATGTATACAAATTAGAAAAAACAAACAGAATCCAGCAAAATTACAAGGACACATAATCTAACCTGGAACAGGGAAGGCTGAAAGGAGGCAACAAATGGATTAGTACTGCTGAAGGCTGGCTCAGGGATTGGTTTTGGCAGCAGAAAAGGCAAGGGTGGTTTCTAAAAGCAACACGGGATTAATTATTGACAAATAATACACAACACTGGCTGAACAAATCCAATTGTCTGTCCAAGCATTTTTTAAGTTTGCTTAAGATCAGTATTATGATTTTAGTCTAGTGATTTCCAAGCAATATGTTTATACTAAGAGCTAGTTCGGTGTTTAATTATGATGTCTTGGGAGTTCACATTTTAAGATGTAATAATTCTGATGTAAAATCTTCCTTTTAGTAAACACCAAATTGTAGTGATGTCAATCACCACTGTTTCTTTTAACGCAATGGCTAACCTTGAATGATTTCACTTTCATGGTGTAAAGCCTGCATGGGATATTTGAGAATTTGCTGTATGACATTACAATAATAACTGAATAAGTAGCCTGGATGTATCATTAACTACTGTACCACATAACATAATACTCTCATTGATGTGTACACAACTGATTAAGAACATTTGAATGCTGAGGAGAAATTTTAAAGAAAATAATAATAAAGTATTTTTAGAAGTCCATATAGCATTTGGTACTTCTAATTTCTTTAGAAATTGGATTAGGTTTCAATTTAGAGATAATAAACCATCTGAATGTCAACCCTGCCAGCAATTTGCAATACAAACTTAATATTCCCAGGACAAGTCTAAATTGAATTTATTCAGCCTTTTACATACACAAACAGAAGGCTTCCTGCCTGCATGTATGTAAATACTTACGTTACAAGTAATTATTAACAGAGTGATGTGACTACAGTTGAATACAGAATTGCTACAGAAGAAAGAATTACCTTACAAAGCTGATGAGGTAAAGGCATTGTAGTAATGTGTTTCTCTATTACAGGAGATGATGAAGGACTATAGAAAGAATCAGGCTGGGAGAGGAAAACAATGACATGGTTTACTGGTTAATGTAACTGAACCAATGTCTGACAATGAAGGTTGTTAATACAGGCACAATGTAAAAATAAGCCATGCATATGAAATTTTATTGAAGTGGAAGGAGGAAAAAATATATTTCATTAAAAAGAAGCAAAAGCTTTTCTAAATATATTCATATTTTTATGATACTAATTATTGGATTATTATTATTATAGTATGTCCATTTTTGGAGGTCAGTAAGCTCACATCTTTAAAAAAATCAAAATTCACTTATTTATGCAAAGCCTAACTAATGCATCACTGCCTAACCTTTGAAAAGTATGTCAGAAAAAGATCTTACTTGGGTTGCAATGTAGTTCACTCACTCATTTTAAATAATTTAATTCACCCAATTCCATTTTCTGAATAGTAGTTATTCTAGGTTTTTCTGATTATGAATATCAAGGATTGGCAATCCTTGTGAGCACTTCAATGATAAATATATAGGTATATCTTGATTTATCAATTCTTAAAAATTGATACCATTTCTTGCTTCAGGAAAAATAATTCTCACTTAACTTAGTCTAAGAAATAAAATATGAAACTGTACCTTTCACTAAATAAAACAGCACTGAGAATTTTTAGTTTACAGACAAGTGTCTGGTCTTTATGGTCAGTGCTATATATTATTATTAAGGGTTCAGTCATCGTGTATAACATAGTTAATAAACATTATAAATTCTGCATATATCCACACAGAACTAAAATTCTAAAATATAAACTACAACTTATTTTTCTTAAATGTATTAGTTTGAGGGTGGGACAACTGATACTACTGAATGAATCACTGCTCAAAATAAACGCTGAAAGATCAAAGAATACATGACACAGGCATTTTGTTATTTTAATATTGTCACACAATATCCTCTAGTACATCTAATACAGTTGTGGAAAAATCTGACTTGATTAACCATTTTTCTACTATTATAAGTACCACTATAGCTGTGAAACACAGAACAATGAATGTGTCACATCTACAAGTAAGATCAAATATAGGAATGGAATTACAAGAAATGATAGTATTGTCTATGAATAACAGGTTTCTTATAATGAATCAAGTCCTATCGAAATTATTATAAGCAACTTAATGGGTTGCTTCATTTTGATGATTTCCCTTCAATAATTCTATACTTTGACACCAGCGAAGCCAATCTGTTAATCTAACATTTTTAATTATCTTTGAACTCTGAGACTCACTCTGGGTCTGTGCACGATGCTCTGCACCATAAACACCACAGGATTCCCTGCCTTACGGATGGCCTCGACTGCCTGTTCATGACTGGCATCCCTCAGATCGATTCCATCCACCTGGAAAACACAAAGATAAAAACAAAATGCAGACTTTCCCTGCTTCTGGTGGTAGGTGGTAGCCTTATCTGGTGAACTTCCGAAAGAGAAAGGGAATGCTCGTGTAAGGTTTTTGCAACACTGTAATACAGGTCCTCTGTTTTCCCACAATTTAATACATGTAGCCTAATGAAGATTTTTAACTTTTCTTTAAGTGACAAACACTAAACTACCCCATGGAACGAACCTCCACTTTTTCCAGGGGGATTTTCCCCTCAAGCTATGTTTTAATCACATATCTTCAATTTCTGTGTTTCTTCAACTCTGAAAACCAAAGTTATACATTTAGTCAATAATTAGCTTTTATGGTTAGACTAGGTGAAATAAAACTTTTTCAGGCTGAACAAGACACTAAGTTATTCATCACCTCTGTCCACTTGCTAACTGCGTCAGCCACTTCTGGGCTGCGGCAAGCTATAGGCACAAGGCACAACACACCCTGGACAGGATGTCCATCACAAGGCTCATGCAGATGCAAACACAATCACGCGCACACTCACACTAGGTCCCGTTTTCACAGAAGCCATTTTACCTGTCAGTATGTCTTTGGGCTGTAGAAAGAAACTGGAGCACCTGACAAAAACTCATGTGAACACAGGGAGATTATACAAACTCAAATAGCACACTGGATCTGGAATTGAACTCAGAGCCCCAGCATGTAAGTGCAAAAAGGTACCTTTGCTACTGAATAATCTCCCATTGCAACCATTTTTTCTATTTTTTTTAGTCTGACATATAAAGAGGAAACCAAAGAATACAATAAGGACCAAGTGTAGTACTCTAACCGTTTCCATTCAAAGCAAGGCAAGCATACACAGAACTGAATGTTTCTGGGTCAGTGCCATAGACAGGAAAGATATAGTTTTATAATCAATTAATCTGGGTACCTCTACGATTCTGTCTCCTGTCTTCAGTGTTCCATTTCTCCCTGCAGGGCTGTCCTCTAGGATGTGCTTGATGAAGATTCCTCTCATCACCTCCCCATTGTTTAGCCGGCTCCCCATTCCTCTTCCCCCCACAATACTGATACCCAGGGATTTACCAGCCTCTCGAAACAGCTCCACTCTGAAGGAAAAAAACCCCACGATCAATCTTTCCAAATTATCTTTATCATAAATAACAGTTCAGATTGCCAAAGCCTTATCTCACAATTCTCAGAGATTTATAATTTTTAATATGGTATCTAGAAAGTGCACAGGTTTGGTAGGTTTATATGGGTTAATACTGGCAGTATCTGAAAACTAAAGTCCCATTTGTAAATGGGGTTAGTGCTTGTCACTGCAAGCAACTTTGTATACAAAAATGTAGAATATTTACTTCCTTGGCTGGTTCCAGTTGCTGTAAGCAGAACTCTGCATTTCACTTTCCTCTCCTTCTCCATCTTCCCGCTCAGGAAGTTCACCAGCTTCCGCACTAAACCCAAACAAAAACAAACAAAAATGTCAGTCATAACTCTCACCTGCATCCAAGAACACCTTCAATAACCTTCATACAGATATTTGACCTAGCTTCCTATTGCTTATTAAATGACTCTCCAAAGTTGCAACAAAAAAGCTACCAGAGACAAAAAGTAACCATGATTGATATAAATCCAACATCAAATGGCAAAAGTGTCTCAGCTTTGTGGCTGGGTAGAAACCCACAGTGATCTTATTCGCCACAAGCCATTCAGCCACAATTCCTATGGAATTCAGGAGACCGCACTTTGAATTGCATTTCATTCTGATCTCCAATTTCTGCTCGAACAAACCAAGTGGAAAAATGTAGCTTGATTAACAGATTCAGAGAACTTGAACTGTTGTGAATTATTATTGGTCAATGTGATAGGAAGTGTTTTTAGAGTTTCTTTTCTGTGTTGTCTCTCGCAGTCAGTAACAAGTTCTTTTTAAATTTCAACAATACGTTTCTTGGCATGGGGGCGCAGTGATTAGCATTGCTGCCTTTTAGCACTGGGGCCCTGGTTTCAATTCCAGACCTGGGGTCCTCCAGGTGCTCCGCTTTCCTCCCACAGTCAAAAAGACATAGTGGTAGGTTAATTGGCTTCTGGGAAAATTGGCCCTGGTGTATTTGTGTCTGAGTGTCTGCCCTGCAATGGACTGCTGTATCCTGCTGTGCCTGTTGCTTGCCAGTTAGGCAAAGAGAAAAAAATATACAATATGAAAATATTGAAAATAATATTTTCTTCACTCTCTTTAGGAAATAATGTCAAGAAATGGAGCATTCAGTGAAAACTGGCTTTCCTCTGCAACTACTGACAGGCTTTGCCAAAAATGTCATTAAAATCTGAATTCCCTTTTTACCATGTAGAAGGTGCTCCAGAGGTAGTTTCATCCTTCAGGTGAACCAGGCTGATTCTGTATTCCTCTAAATACTCTGACGGAACATAGGTGATACTGGAACAAAAAAGTAAGTAGGGCTAAGCAAGTTTACTTTTCAAAAATGTACCCAAACCAATGGAATTATAGTTATACTTACCAGCATATAGAGAAAATCCAAACCATTAGATCTGTCATGATCACTGCGATTATATACAGTATATGAGAATTTCAAGATTTATTTTTGTTCTTTTGATCATTGTAATATTACTATGACATTCAAAATACAAAGTAATTAAATTAAGAAGGCTAATTAGAATTGGTATAAAATTAAACATTCTTAAGCTCAAAATAGCAATTACTGCATATAGTGTGGGACTTACGAGTTTGTGTAAAGCTTCAGAAATAGACCAAGAAAGATTGAACCATCACAAAATGGTAGGATACTCTATTTGTAATGACAAAATAGATTCAAATGATTTAAAATCTATGTTTTGTTTTGATAATCAAACTCTTTGCCTAAAAACAATGTTGTGAAATATTATTCAATGTTTGCAAATAATTAAAAACTGATTACAAAAACAATTTAAAAAAACATCTGACATGTCAGTCAAACAAAGTTTTATCAGGAAGACAACTGTGCCAATAATTATTCATTTACTAATGCTTTTATCTAAAGTAACCCTCTTACCTATTTTTTTTTCTGGAGCAAATGCGGGTGAAGTACTTTAATCAAGGGTGCCAGAGCCCACTCCCCTTTTTGGAACTTGACCCCACATTCCTCAAATCAGGAATTGAGAAGCCTAAGCACTATTCTACACTATCCCCATGATTAGTGCTTTCTCTAGTGTTTATTGGACAGGTCGCCCAAGAAGAACAGCACCTCTTTGTTGAAGAATCGAACCGAAGTAAAATTCTTTATAGATCAATTGCATAACATTATTAAAACAGTTGCACCTTTACATTTATGCTTGATAGTTGATTTTATTCGATTTATGTTTATGATATCCTGTGGAAATGTTTTCATCCTATTTGATGCATTATATAGAAATAAAGTATGATAATATGAAATTGTGACTATATAAAAAAGAAGGTCATTTTCTTATTTAATAAAATGTGATTTGGCTAGGTACTGGAGGTGACCATGCATAGATAACATAATATCAACCCAGTGGCAACCAACTTCCCAGCTGTCTTATAAAAGTGCAGGGGCAGCTCATAACATAGTAAGCATATATATAAATTTTGATGTTGAAAATGACAGATCTAATGGAAGAGGAACCAAAGCATATCCAAAAATGTTTGAATATTACTGCATGCAGATATTGGTAAAGACAACACTTATGTACCTGCTTCACATATTAACAAATACTTGCAAGACTTAATATGCACAACAGATCAACAAATAAATTAGTGAGTCATGGATGGGACGTGCCAGACATGTACTGTGTGTTAATTTTATCATCACAGAAACAGAACCTTTGAACCCTTCCCACATGAAAAAATAAATACATTAAACAATGTTAATCAAAATGAGAGGAACTGTGGTTAGTGTAATACAAATGCCAGAGAGGAGATTTATCCAGATACACAGTTATTAATAACACTCTACAGTGACTTGGTGCCCTAGATGTAGTTTAGATTTGTGAAGAGGGGTTGAATAGGAACAAACTTGGATGTATTCAGCCAGAGGTGTTAATGGTAGGCTAAATTAAAAAAAATAAAGCAATTTCTCTTCAAAGATGTGAGTTTCTGAATACTATATTTTATTCCATTTTAGAACAACTGTCCTCAATTATGATTGTTTCTGGTTTAAAATTTCCTTATTTTCCTAGGAATTGAATATTCAAATAAAGCTTTACAAAAAGGCAGAAAGGTGCCATTTCTCAAGCAATTCTACTTTATATCGCCATCCTGCCATATCCTAAATTGCAAAATACACCAAATTAGTGTAAAATATGTATTTAAATTTTTGGCTTCTAAGAATCCTAAAAATTGTTACTATTGATGAAAATCCAGATCAATCTGGATCAAAGTCTCATCAAAAGATTGTCTCATTTTAGTGGTGCACAATCAGAGACATGCACTGTATTGCTGTGTTGTTTTCCTTTAATTAAAAATCATCTGGATAAAACCCCCTGCAACCTGAAACAGAATTACTAAACACATGCCTTGATGTACAAAACGGATTAGATAATATTTGTTCCCTTTAAAAACACACCACTCATTTTTGAATTACCAATACTCACACATAAAAGGGGGACTGATCGTCAGCTGGCGCACAAGAAGATCTAGAATGCGAAAAGCATATGACGCAGCATCTTTTACACCTGTGCTAATAAAGGCTCTTAAGAGTGGCAGCACTAATCAATTGAAAGCAGACATTACCCTCATGTGTTGTCATTCAGAATTTCTGAAGAGATTCTGAAGAGCAGAAGAACACTAGTGATTTTATAAAGTATTATATATTTAGCATTGCACAACCCTGTGACAATTTTATCTCTGTGCATAGAAAGCTGTCTTGTATATTCCTTAGGAGTACACTAAAATAGATTTTGAAATATTGCACATAATTCATTTTCTGAGGTAGTTCTTTTTCAGTGTCGTGGGGGAGCTGGAGCCTATCCCAGCAAGCAATGGGCGCAAGGCAGGATACACCCTGGCTCACACCAGTCCATTGCAGAGCAGACACACAAACACAAACAAATATATCCACCCACTTACACCTATGGTCAGTTTGCTCAGAAGCTATGTTTTTGGACTATGGAAGGAAACAGGAGCACCCGGAGAAAACCCACATGACATGGGGAGAACAAACTACAACCTCCTTGCAGATAGCACCCCAGGTCCGGAATTGAACCCAGGACTCCAATGCTGCAATGCAGTAAAAATATCCAGTAATTTGAAATTAAAGAACTGCTTTTATGATTTGCTAAGAATGAAGGGGAATCTTCATTGTCAGAAAAGTATTATATGTCACTTTTCAAAAGTGTTTATGAGGCAACCAAAGTTCCAGACTAGCACTAATCTTAATTCCTGAATATATCTGTTATAATGTAATCCAAAATAATGAAAAGCGTGTGCAGTAATTTTATTAAAATCTAGTTAGGGTTATATTTGACTTGTATATGAGAAGCAGTCCTATTTTCCATGTATCATATTTCTCACCTACTGTATAATGAAAACTATACTATTTTGTAAAATTAAAACACATTAAAGGTTATGTCCAGATAATCAATCTCTTTTGAATTATTTAATTTTTGTAATGCAAGCTGAATCCCTCTTTTAGCAAAAAAAACAAGTCACAAACGTGGGTCATTCTTTGTTCCTATTACAGGTACATACATACTGTACATTTAGCAAAAAATATAAAAATGGAAAATTGAACCTCTGTATAAAACTTTCACAAACATTAAAGTGTATTTAGGTGAAGTACACATAAAATGATAGATGGTGTAACAGGTCACAACTCACTTCTACTCTTGATTGTTTATTTTTTTGCTTGATGTCTTCAGGATGTTCTTTGTCTATTAATGCTCTTTTAGGTTAGATTCAAAACTTAGAATACTTGCCCATTCCTTACCTTATGTCAGGCCCAATGAGGGAGTGTCTTCTCAGCATGGCACGAGCCTGCGCATTGGTTAGATTAGTGGTAGGCTCTCCATTGATAGCTAAGATACAGTCTCCTACAGCAAGCCGCCCATCTCGACTGATGGATCCACCATGAATGATACTGCGAATAATCATCCCTGAGCCATCCTTAACAGCACTCACAGTCATCCCTGTCAAATACATATGTTTTCAGATAACATTGAATCACCAGGCAAGAATAGTTGCTATTGCTATGATTGGCCATGTAATCCTTGGTTCAACATTAAACCATTTTATTTATTTTTTGAGGGGGAGGATAACATTTTATTTAAATGTTATTGAAATTACAATACATTCAAAGTGCATGATTAAAATACAATTGAAATTGTAAACCAAAATAAATTAGGCTGTAGTACAATCAATAAGAAAATAATTATGTTTTCTTCTTTAAGCATGGAAGAAAGGAATTAAGGTTATACTTTTTATATTTTCACCAACATCTATGTTTCATTCACTACAATAACATCAGTAGGAAGCACTGAAATACTATATGCCAGAAAACTATATAAACATTAAAGCTAGTTAATGAGCTTCTGTTTTTAAAACATTGCCTAAAGTTGTGTTTACTACAATTTTTCTTACATCTTGCATTTTGTCATTCACAAGACAGAAAAAAAAGTATTATGATATGTTTTCTTGCCTATTTGTTATAACGTATTTGGAAGACACTCTGAAAACACTCCTAAAATACAATTACAAAAGTAGTAGTTCCTAGTAGCTTCCTGTACAAAGTACATTTGTGCATAGTGATGATGTGCTATAATCATTATACTGCAGTAGAACAGTACAATATTGTATTCATGGGACATAAAATGAAAATATGACAAAATGTAACATGAAAAAAACAAGTTACAAACTTGGAACATATGTTTGTTCAAATTACAATTCCATACTGTACATACATTAGACTATGCTGCTCTTTAACAGTTCCAAAGAATACACACTGGATGATGTTGGCAAACTATGTACACCCCACTGAGTGTACGTGTATACTTTGTTTATATAAACTTTTTAAAAAATAGAGTCCAGTTTATTAACCATATTAATGCCACAACAAAACATTTCGTGACTGATTAGTGCAATATACACATTCTGCCACTTGTCTATGTTTCTTGCATGACATACAGTATATGCATTGTGATCTAGATTATGTAAACATAGGAAAAAATAATGACCTTCTAAGAGGTCAAATTAATTAGTAGTAAAAGAAAATAAATTCCTGTTTGGCCTGTTCTAATTACTTTATGCATAGTGTTTTTACGTATTTTCTTACACATTTAGCTGTAACATTAATGCAATTAAATTGAATAAACAAAACGTCTGTGCCAGCGGAAATGGTAGATCCCATTAATGTCACACAGAGAAATGGAATGTAAGGAGACTGGTATTCAGAAGGGCTGTACTGGATTTGGTCAACATGTTATTAAAACCATGGCCAGGACTTCAGTGAATAAAAAAGTCTTAATCAAATGGTCTCACTGAAATTCCAAACTTGAACATTTTTTATCTTATAAATGCTACAAAAAACATTTCACAAGCTTCCACAAACTTACTAAAACATCTATCTTTGGCTAATTAAATGTGATGATATCCCATATTTACATGGTATAACATTCAAACTCAGTGATTCTTTTATTGCACTCAAAGTTCCAAGCGATGTACATTTGGCAAAGCTGCCTGTATCACCATTCTAAAGTGATGGGTCTGCTTACCAAAGTTGGAACAGTTAACAGATTATCTTTAAAAATACCAAACTTGAAATTCCTCCAAAAACCTTGTTCAATTATTGCACAGCATTTTAAAATCTTTAGTTTTAAAGAAGGGTACATTTTTTAAAGAATACATATTTGTTATTTTATGCAAAATCCCAAACCGTTTAAATTATTGAGCCGTACTGTCCCTATTGAAAACATTTTTTTCAAATATCCCCCCTTTCACATTCATTACTAAGGGTTAAGGCCTTAATTTTATCAAACAGTACCGTTTAAAGGAAATCTGTTTATTATAGACTATGATGTTTGATTAAAATATTCCATCCATCTTCAAAAGCAGCTTTAACATTAGACACAGTATTTATCATAATCAAAACTGTAATGTGTTATTTTAATTCAAAAGTGATAATTCTTATTTTTGGGGAAATTTGTATTAAATCCTTTCCCTGTTAAATTACACAGCTACCTCAAAACTGTTCCAAGCTTTGAAGTCAGACCCAAATAATAAATGAACACATTACAGCATTTTATGGTAATACACAACCATAGTACAATTTAGTATGCTACTCTAGTTATAATGACATTCAGAAATGGGATCTACTCTCAGAATTATTCATGAAACCACCTGAATTTATCAGCCAGATTCTGTTGAATCACCACCATGTTAGAGCATTTGTCCAGCTCTACCTTTGAACTGAAGATGGTCATATTTTCTTGTCCACTTTCAGATATTTATAGTATGCACAAATAAATTCTTGAAAAGTCACAGTTCTGTTTTTTTTCACACTAAACTTTTTTTTTCCATGACATTCAGAATAGATTCAACTTAAACCTAAAATATCAAATGTGTACTGTAGGTGGGCTTACTATTTGTTAAGCAAGATCTGTTATATACTATATACTATATTCTATATACTATATACTATATACTGTATACTGTATGTGTTATACAGTATATGGCTTCAATGGTTTGGTTCCTGATTACATCCATACACTCTTAACACCCTCTAAACCTACACTGGAATACAGATTAGAATCTGCCCTTCTTTTAGTTCCCAATATAAATCTCTGCACACTGGGAGAACATGTTATCTGTTCTCTTCTCCAAAAGTGCGGAATTATATCCAAGCCCATATCAGATATCGCAAAACTCCTGTCTTAAAGCATAATTTTAACAGTGTCTTTATTTCACTTTCAGTCAGTAACCACCACTCAATTCCAAGCTTAACATCAGCTCTTTGATGCTATGGCAATGGCCCAGCAGAATCCAGTAATTTACAAAAATTGTCCAGATGTTTTACATGTTTCCAAATTTTGTCAAAGTCCACCAAAAAAAAAGTTTTGATGAAGTAATCACACACTTTTGCATGTCATAAAGATGTAGGTCAATGACTGGTCATTTTAAATAGTGTGGATAGATTATATTTAATTTTAGTAATCTTACAATAGTCTTGTTACTCAAAAGTGACAAAAAATGTTTTTGACTTCTATATACTTTTCAAACTAATACAAATAAGCTAAACAACTTTAGAAAATAATGGGCATACAGAGTAACTTAATACTTGCATTTGAGCATGTACCTATGACATTAAAATGTATAATCATGAAATTGGAAACAATATTTCCATCTTTTTCTGTACTTTCTTTGAAATGATTTTCAGATGTAAGACTGCAAAATCTGTGTGATGTCAAATTCACCATAGTGTTTACCTACAACAGTTTATTTGCTCCTTTATATTGCAGAATTAAACATAAAATGTTTTACTGTTTTGAGAATAGAACCCATCTTTGCACCTTTCCCAATAACAGCAGGTATGTATTTACAAAATTGACTGTACATTACCGCAATGCTTACTTCCAAAACATTCTAAGTTCACTTACTACAAGTGAATAAAAAACTGCAATTGACAATTGTTAATTTTTATGAATATGTCCATTAATTTAAAATCAATTTTAATGTCTCAGTCTATTACTACAGAACACATACATAGATATGTTTACCATTGTAGTGTATTGCTGAAACTCCCACAGAAGAACAAGACATTACCACTGAAGATCAAAGCTCTTAGAATAAATTACCTATTTTGTAAGGAAAGGATTCAGAAATAAAACTCTTAGAAAATATAAATATATCTATAGGTCCTCAGCACTACTAAACATACCCATGCATATTATATACATACACAATGAAAAAATAATAATAAAAAAGACAGATAACATACCAAGACTAGAGTTGCCCTTGACAACAGTAATTGTCCTCTCAAAACTGCTTCCAGAAGAGAACATTTCATTATCTATGTTCTCTACAAGGCCTTGATCCTCCATATCTTCGTTTCTCTAAACAGAAGTTACAGTATACAACATATTACAGCTGTGTAAGTTTAATTGTAAATATTTATTTCACAAAGATGAACTTAATAAAATATTGATCTTATATATTACTAGTAGGAAAGAAGGTCATAGGGAAGGTCAAAGGTTTGGAGAGGTTTGGGACTCATTCAATCTCTCTCATCATTGTTTTAATTGCAAACTGTCAGAATACAACCACACATTTCAAAGTTACGATAGCTAAAATTATATATATTACACATAATAGACTTAATATCCCAGCATAACTAGCGTAATTCCCTTTGGCCTGTAAACGTATTAATTTCAACATTTCAACATCAACAGCGCATCTCTGAGACCAACCAAGGAAATCAACTATTTGCAAATATGAAATCAATAAAAGCTTTCATTCAAATGTTTAAATTCATATGACCTCTAAACCTGAAGACCTAAAAATATGTAGTATATATTTATGATGCTAGTATCAAATATAATTAGACAAAGTTTTAAAATATCACCAAATTTGAACTGCCTATTCCACTGCACAGGAGCACATAAATTCTATAACACAATTATCTTAAAAATTGACTAAATGTAACGGAACAAATAGTTTTGTCTTAGAAATGTTAAAACAAATCCAAAATGAGAAGAGAATTACTCTGAAATACAGATTCAATTCAATTTTAATAACATAAACCACATCTTTTCAGATGACACTACTTAATTTCACTGCATTGCACACCAAACATCTTCTCAAATGAACAAGTAAAGGTGTATTCCATGCTGAAAAGAGAAGAAAAGAAACATAGCGTTTCGGCTGTGGTGCCTTCTTCGGGTGTGTCATGGTTCAGGTTGGTCACACCCGAAGAAGGCTCCACAGTCAAAATGTTTTTTTTTCTTCTCTTTTCAGCATGGAATAAACCTTTACTTGTTCCTTTGCAGCATACACATGCTGACACAGCTCCCAACTTGAGCTATCTTCTCAAATGTTTGCTTTTGTCATTGATTCAATCTGATGTATTTTCTGAAAATAAGTATTGCAACAAAAGTAAAAGGACCTTGAATATAAGAATACTTGTTGCTTTTAAAAGAAAATGAATGTTTTAATTAGGTTTGCCTAATTAAAGATGAACTGTATTTTGGAAACATACTGTAAATAACTTGGAATTTGTTCTGTAATTGTACCCTGTAAGACTCACTACCTTTTATATACTGGAAGCCCCACAATGTCTACATCGCCTAGCTCAGAATGCAACATAGTATTATGAGCCCTATCCCCTTTTTTACCCTGTAAAATACAGACTGACAGTGCCCATAAAGGCCCTCCCAGCTATATTGAATAGTCAAAAACAAAACAGGTAGCTAACCTGTTGACTACTGTGATGAAAGCATATTAGACAGATTTTAGTCCAGCTCAGAACTGAGCACTTTAGGACCACAGTCAATACATTAGTGCCTTCACTAATCTGTTTACAGTATGTAGCAGGTTCTCTGAAGTAAACCACTTAGGCCATAGAGTTCCAAGATAATTTCTGCACTTTCACAGGCCATATTACACAGTAAGTAACTCACAGCCCTTTGATTACCTTTTATTAAGCTCTTGTGCTTAATAAAAGATAAAATGGAGTAATAGTGTTTATGCCATACTATACAGTAGGCTTTGTTTGGAAAATCAGATTTTGTTCAGTTTGAACAGCAAATAAACTTCAGCACAAACATGTATCCCCAGAAATATGGTTTTATCTCATACCAATTGACAATCAAAGGCACTTTTGTATTGTTACGTCTATACATTTTTGTAGTAGAAACTGTATTGCACTTAAAAGCAAGAATATAATACATAAAATCAGCAGATTATTACCTTTACAGGGACAAAACCTTCCTGGTGAGAGGATCTATCATCAGTATCTTCCCTGCCTGGATCTGTGGAAACACTGCCTTCATGGCAGGGCTTATATTCTGCACAGGCATCAGATGCCTTATCCAGTTCCATTTCTGTCTCAAAAGACTGAATAGACCTTTTGTCATGATTCAAAGCTGAACATGGCTCTGACTGCACCACCTCTGGCATGACACAATCTGTCTCCATTAGGTTTATGTGCTGCTCAGGAGACGGTGTTTTGTTAGTGGCTCCAAAAGGTAGTGCTGAACTTGTAGCTTTCCAAGGCTGGAAAAGAGTGATTCGTTTCTCTTCAGGGAAAAATGGTTCAGCTTCATCAGCAAATTCTGTCGCTGCTGAAAATGAGGGCTTTGCAAAAGCATCTTCATAGGTACTCTATTAGATAAAAACAAACCATACTGTACCACAGGGATATTAGAAGTTAGAATTAGTTATCCCTTATTGACAATTAATATTAATCATCAATATTTGTTGAATTGCAAATCAGCTGGGAATGACTGTATATGTAATTTATCCAATTTATTTGGAAAATACCAGATAAAAACCACATATGACCAAATTAAATATGTCATGTGAACACATGATAATATAATTAAAAACTTTCACATACTTATTAGGTTTGCTTAAAATACACAAATTTAATATATTGCAAAGGAATTTGAATTATGCAAAAGATTATGTCAAAACTACCGTAACAACACTGTAGTTTTTTGGCATGCTCTTGTAAAACTTTTGTATTTATGGAGGATATTAGCTCATTACTGTAAGGGCTTTAAAATCCTTATAGGATTTCAATATATTTTATACTTTAACTTGAAAGTTTACCATTTTTATTAAAGATTTTATTAAAGTTACTTTAGATCAATTAAATATAGTATGAATATCAGTGATAAAAACAGCTCCACTGATGCAACTCTTGTTTTTCACTGCCTACAATTTCTGTTTTGCAGGATTTATTACTTTTGTATTTTGCACTGAATATTCATAAATAAATAGGAGGGTTTTCACCATCCTGCAAAACTCTGCTTACATTACAACCATATGATCTGGGAAACCAAAGGAAAAATCCTACAGAAAACAAACTAAACTGAAGAAAACTAAATGGTTTCTTATGATGTTTTTTTATTTTATTGTAAGATCGAATGAAAAACTTGACAGTATAGTTCAGACTGATGATCAAGTAGATCTGCCAACCTATGACTGCACAGCTATCTCTGGATCCTCTGCTTCATTTTAAACCAAAAACAACAAAAATATTCTTTTGAAAATGTATATATTTCAGTTCTACTGCAGATGAAGCTTAACCAATACTGTATATGTGACTTTTTGATTACTTACAAGGACACACATCAAATTCATTCATACTTATGAACATATGGTAACAGCCTGGGAGAGCATCTATTTAATGGGAACAACAGGGATAAGGGGAAGATAAAGGGGACCTCTTAGGGAAGAGAAATGGGGTTGTGATTTTTTATTGATTTAGCTCTTCTGCTTATGTTTTAGTTACAACCTTGAAAGACAAAATTAATTTGATTTTTATGGTTGGTCTAAAAAATAGAGCAGAAGACTTTTCCTATAGAATAATATATGGAGCATTCAAAAGGGATGTCTTTCCACTGAAAAACCTAACTATATGTCTGCTTAGAACAAATCAGACATGATGATTTATTGTAAGCCCCTGATTTTACATCAAAGACAAGGCAGAATTGCAAAGCTGTTTATTTAGGAACTCTTTAAGTTAGAGAAGCTCAGCAATGACTGAATGATTACCTTGGGCGTAGAGGAATGCATAGACAGCTGGTAATCCAGATCTACGCTGCACGTGCTGCCATGTAACGCTAACATAGACTCCTGAAAGGTGTCATCTTCTTCCCCTGGGTACTGAGAATCAAACGTCTTTTCATCAGTCAAGTCTGCTTCATTAGAGTCAATCTACAAGAAAAGTGACAAATCATTAAAGATAAAGGCATTCCACTATTTGTTTAAAGATTTTTCTTCTCAAAAAAGCAATACTTCAATTGGTGTCCACAACCATCTGTAAGCTACTTTCAATGTACATAAGGTGTCAGATAGTCAGCTTTACTCTCAATGAAACTATTTAACCAGACTTTAGAAGACAGCCTGCTAAATCATGTTACTGTTACCAAATGTCATAACCTAATATTACCCACTTATGAAAGTAAGTGATAAATGTATGAACTGAATTCACTTGGAAGATTTCTTAACATACAGTATGCATACAGCTTGTAATTGATTCCTGAAGGGAAGATGGGGTTTTCCGCAGCTTGATTTGCCAAACCTCATAAGAAATAACTAACCATTGCTAGCTCTGCATGGAAAACTGCAGCATCAGCCTGCTCCTCGTCTTCAAACTGCTGAGCAGTGTAGAAGATGGAATCATCCTTTGCAGAAGAACAGCCCTCCTCAGGGGTCGGCTGCAGAAACAGTGACGTGAGGGTGAACTATGCAGTAGACATGCAAAGCACACCCCCAGGAACACTGGGGCTACTCCTTCAGAGTCTGACTTCTATTCTTTGAAAGATTTATTATTTGTACTTGACTACTTAGTGCTTCTAAGCCAAGTTAGCATGTTAGTAGTACAAGGTTTGTTAGTAGCAGTTAAATACAAACGCAATGGTACAATCTCAGTGATTGTTTCATTTCTTTTTCATTGTCAATATCCATTCCCTAATATGAGGATAAATCAGCATTCTCCACTGGAGAGGCTCTTTGTATCACGATTTTCCATATGTGGAGAGCAAAGGGTGATTATTCAAGGCAGAATTTCTGAAGTGGAATGTTTCTTAAAATTAGAATGCCCACTCACTAATTACTGTAATATTCTACGTTGAAATTAAGACATTTTAGTTCTGCATGAATTTAAAAAGGTAATCTAGGATTCCCACTTTATTTGTTATGTGTCAGCAAGTAACAATAAAAACAGCTTCAGAATACCTTTGTACCAATTCTCAGTAGTTACATTTTATGTACTCCTTTTTTTTACTTGCCAAAAATATTTTAGGATTTATTGGGGGAATGAATATAATGGTTAAAGAAAAAAGTAGAATGCATTTAACATGCACTTAACCTAACAAACTGCAAAGGTATTGTACAATAAATATGATCCCTGTCGAAACATTAGATGTTTTATACTGGGTGCACAGGTTGTGATTTGCACAATAATTCACACAAAAAACTTGTGGCTATAAAATGAAAATTTTAAAACATTGTAAATCTCTCCCACTCATGCATGTGCATTAACAAAATCAGATCCTAAAATGGACAGCATTCAGGTTTGCTGATGTAATGTACTGTATCTACTTTATTAATGTAGGTGAGAGAAGTGAAAACAGTTCTTAACCTGGATTTTAAATGTAAAAACAAATACTGGTAAAATGCAGTCTATTGCACAACTTCTCAGTGAATCTAATTTTAAAAATTATTTCTGATAGATCCTAATTATACCTTTAGATATTGAGTCAATATAATGTTGAAAGCCTAAGTGAGATGTCCACAACTACAACAGTCCTAAAAGATGCTGCATCTCGTGTTTGTGTACACCCTAAGTTCAGTTACATAAGCTACACAGAAAACTGAGCTAATTATTTACTCAAATAAACATATTTAGTCCTTTTCTGAAACCTTAAGCTGATGAATTTTTAGGACAGAACCTACCAATATACTGTGGCTCTCAAGCACCACTGCCTAACACAACACCTGTACAACTTATTTAATTCTTGCTATTACGTATAATTTCTATGGAACATTCCAGAGGAAGACTTTTCAAGCTATCTGAATTCAGCACTAATCTTCTGTGTTAAATTTGCAAAGGTCATGGAAAAAAGAACATAGATGTACATTCTGCTATCAGTTGCAAGAGTAAATGAAAACAATCAAGCTCACATCATGACAGTTGATCCTATTTATGTCAATGTGGTGTTTTACTAAGCAAGGGTGCAGATGTAAATGTTATTTAGTTCACTGAATTTTGTAATAAAAACTTCAAAAATCCATTATAACAAAGGCAATACAGCCACACTTCTTCATGATCCTCATCATGATTCTCTGTGAATATCAAGTGGTCCCCATCATGATGGGATGACCACAAATACAACTAGAATCTATTCTGCTTGTCTTGTGAGGGTCATGGTTTATTTTGTAGAAGTACTATTACACTTGAATCCAAGTTCACTAATGAGCTTTTAAAACACTATAGGGCTACTGTAATTGTAAGGAGACAGAATTAGTTCGAGTAACTGCTCCACAAGGCACTATCCAAGTTTCCATTTATAGATCTTTTAAGCCCACTTCAGCTCTGATCTCATTACGACCTGATTTACAGCCATCCCTACACAACTTTAAGTTGGAATATAAAATTGTTTATAAAACTGGCTCCCATTTTCAGTTGCAGATTAAAAAAGAGAAAAAATCTAAAAGCTGAACCGATTCCCATTTACTGCTCCCCTTTATTTAGAATTTAAAAAATCAATTTGGTGGTAATTCACTACTGTGCAATTAACTTTTTACTAAAGTAAAAAGTAAAAATGAAGTGCAATGCAAGATAGTTACACAATTGCCTACTGATTAAAAATTCAAGTGTGATGTAATAGGATGCAGTTCTATCAGGTACTTAGCTGTATGACACAACACACATTCAAACACATGCACATGTTATGATGTTCCTCGAAAGACAACATTAAGGACCTTACAGGTAAAGGCTTGGCCACTCCAATTCGGACCTTTCCCACTGGTGCACCCTTCAGTGCCTGCACTGCATCCTCCAGGCTCGCATTCTCCAAGTTTGTATCGTTAACGAACATGAGCCGATCTCCAGGGAGTAGGCGCCCATCTACTTCTGCCACCCCATCAGGAACCAGGGAGCGGATCACTATCACTGTTTTTTCTGGGTCAACAGGGTCCTGTTTCAGGTGCAAGTTACAGCATTTTATAAGTAATTAGCTGATTAATGCACTCCACTGGATGAGAACTAAATGAACATCTGTGTTACTCCCTCTCTAAAATGGGAAAAAACACTTCATTAAGAAAATCACAAGCAGAATAATTCAATTTCTGAAACTGCTCACTTTCCGTACATATTTTAGGAAATCTTTTATTTTCAGGATGGTTATAACTGTTAAAGAAAAAATGCAAAACAATAGAATCCTAATAGAATCCAATAGAATCTCCCAATTTCTATGTTCTCTTACTGTACATGGTAGATGACTAATATTGTCTTACCTGATAGTCTAAAATGCTGAAGCCAAGCCCCATGTCTCCTTTCTCTAGCTCAATGTCTTGTATTTCTGTTTCCCACATGGCTAAGGATGAGCCTAGAGTCTCCTCAGTGACATTCTCTTTCACAATATCATCCGTCTCCGAGGAACCAACACAATCACCAAGATCTAAATGTACCTTGAAAAAGAGATATAAAACATTACTATTAAGTCACAAATTTAAAAATGTCCTACTCATATTTAATATTTTTGATTTTCATTTCATATGCACAAGTATAGATACACTGTACCTTTGGAAGTTTTCAGATCATTATGGTATTATTGTCTCAATAAAAACAAATCTTAAAACTTTTTTCAGCAGAAGAAAAGCTGTGTTGATGCAGCAATTAAAAGCTCTTCAGAAAACAGCTCACCATAATATAGTTTGTATAATAGAACATAGACTGCATGCCTATTAATATAATAATAATCATATAATTGATAGTGTATAGATCTGTTCACCTAAAAATAAGCAAATATTTGAAAATGTTAAAAAACATACCAGCGAATATGCTGTAGAGGTAAGGATTTGAGAGCCAAAGATCACGGATTGACGTACCTTCTGTTCTGGTTCATCAAAATGTTCTTGGAGGCCATTTTTTCCTCCTATATCACTGTCACTGTCTAATAGCAAAGCTGGACGACAGCACACCAATGTCACAAATACAGGCAGCTCCTTGAGAATGCTTATGACTTCCTTATGGTTTTCACCAATTAACGATATTCCATTTACCTAAAACATAATTTTGTAATAAAAAAAATAAAAATGTAATATAAACACTGAAGACAGAGGAATGTAGCAAAATCCTAAAATTATGTAAATATACTGTGATTTTGATTTACAGGATTATATGGTAAAATGAATATGAAAGTACTTATTTAACCTATACACAGCTGGGTTTATATCTGGGTACACACTCGGTACACACAAACATTGAATGAGCATCTTAGTGTCTCTCAAATCAATTACAAAAGCAAACAACAGAATATTCAAATACTTCATCATTGTTAACAGCTTTCACATTATCCTGAGATGCCACAAGCTTATAATATTAGAAACATGTTGCGAGCAAGGTCACATTTGCTCCCTAGAAACAAACAGGGCTTCTTAATCATCAGAATGTGTTTCAGTAAATTGAAATCAATAACAAAACTATACTGTGGTCATCAACAGTTATAAAGTATGTGGAAAAATACCCTATTTTACTTTGTTCTTTCTTAGGACATCTTTCACAACATGGACACACTCTATCAGAGCCACTTCCAGTTGGGAGGGACTAAGAGCATATATGCCACTTTCCAATTTTGATTGTATCCAGTCTACATACAGTAACAATAATTATGTAGCCTGAATGTTATGTTCAAAATGTATTTGTATAGTGCTTTTCACCTACATAGAACCCTAAGAGATGTAGCTACAGAGCTTACGGTATGTTACCTGTGAAGGCAAGATAATGATAACTGTTAATATGTCTGTTCACACGTGGAATTTAGGCATGTGTAGTGTTGGAAGATATGCAGTATTTACAGAGTTTCAGTACGATTGTTACCTCAAGGAGTTCATCCCCACTGAACAATCTTCCACTGCGTCCAACTGGCCCCTCTGGCAGAACTGAACGGATATAATGGTGCCCTGAGGATGCTTCCAAACTGATGCCAAGGCCACTGCTTTCACTAAACTTTTCAACTTGAGCAACCTAAACATAGGGACAAAAACATTTTTAATTATGAGAGCTGACTTTTGTATACACATTATTTCCCTTACAATTCACAGGTATTGAGGAATGATCTAAACTCTAGAAAAAGGACTTTGTTTACACTGCATACTATACAGGATGTCTATGTGAAAATAATCTCTTCATATATTTAAAGGCTACAGCATCAGAAATCACCTTGAGAAAAACTGTTTAAGCAACAACATCGTGAGAAATATTTAAATTTTGCTTACAGTATATTAGCATCCCTTAAACCTTACAGATCATAAATACTCAAGATATTTTCATAATGAAAATCAAACATATTGTATGTTAATCCTTAAAGCAGAAAATCCTCTAAACTGTATACTATTTTTTAAACAAATAACATATCCTGGAGAGCTTTTAAAATGGAGAATTGTGTTTAAGTCTTTTACAGATAAAACATTAAGAAACTGGAAGTGTCTGATAAGACATTTTGCAACACTGCGAATTGGGACAACCTGATTAACATAGTTCAAGGCCAGTAATCTCAGAATATGTATCAGGCCACTACTACGAAACATCTAAGAATCAAATAAGTAATCAGCCAAGTCAGCACTACGAAACTTAAAATATAAAGTCAAAATGATGCACAATTAAAGTAATTCTACCATATCCAAAACAGAAAATATGCTAACTGTACATAATAATAGCTTTAATGGAACAAATATTTACTTATATTTTGCTTACCACAACTTCATTGCTGGGACCAAGTAAAGACTGCCACTTTTTCTTGAGCTCTTCCTCCTCTACGGCAGTCAACAGTGTTCCTTAAAATATTAAAAACTAAATCTCAACAAAACACAGTCTACACTATGGATTTCTAAATTTGAATTACTTACTTAATCTTTAATTAAACTGATAATTTGCATCATAAAATTCATCTAACTGCAGACAAGCAAGTATCCCAAGATGGGACTGAACCCAGTTCCGTGACAATACGAAGTAGCAGTGCTAACCACTATACCACACAAAAAAACGAGCAATTAAGAAGATATTTCTGTAACATAAAAGTAAAAATCTCAACCATGTTAGGGCTAAAAACGAATCACAAAAGGTCTATTTTGTAAAATATGAGTTCACTTATACAAGTCAGAACTCAAAAGGACGATAACTAGTAGATGCTGGTGTTTGGAAGTATAGAATCTCTCTAAGACTTCCATTATAATGCACTAAATTGTCATTCTTCAGTCCTGGCTAAACTGCTGTGGTCTCTGGTTTTCATTCCATCAGAACTATTAAGCTTTTTAACTGGATTATCTGATTAGTCTTCCACTGTGAAACTGTTAAAAATGAAAATTTTTCTTTAAAATTAATACATGTCATTAAACTTCATTTATAAGTTTTTGGTAAGTAAATGTTGGATTGGAAATTAAAAATTAGCATGAACCATGTACCTTTAACAAGCGCTTAAGGACTCATTTAAGCTAAACAGATTTAATGACAGGTGTCTGGAATTTAAGTAATGCAGAACTAAAACTGCTTATTACTGGAGTGTTTCAGAAGGCATAGTTCCCATTTATACCTGTACATCATTAAGTGATGACTGGAGAGGAATGTTTTCAATGGTTCAAGGAGAAGATTCATTAAAAAAGCTAAGGACAGATAAACCAGAATTCTGTCTGTTTCTTTTCTCGGCAACAATAAAGTTATTTCTAATACCAAGGATCAAATGTATGAAATCGATCAAACTTTGCAATGACAAATAGAGAACAGAAATTCCCAAGGAACAGGTGTGAAAAAAACTTCCAACAAAGCAACAGGATATGATTAAGGTCCGATTATTTAATAAAATATTTTTATTTTAGCATCTGGGGTAGCATCGTCATAAAACACAAAATGTTGGAATTATTATTGGATACAAACTAGAATCCTGGTCCTGATCCCTGTGAACCTGGTGCTGAGGTTTGGTATCCCAGGTATGAAGTGCCAAGTCCTACAGATTCTGTAAGTAGTCTTACATAGCAAATGAGCAGGAATTAAAAATTGAAAACCTAACGATACATTGGCTTTCAGGGACAGAATTACAACCCCCTGGGTGGCCTTGAGTCTGTATTTCATTCCAGCTGAACTATCAGTTATGTAATTGGGCCTTTAATTGAACTACAAAGTTTCTGAATTGAAATATTGTTCAATGTCTACAGCTGTAAAAAGATGTTGTATAATTTATACTACATATTTTCAGTTTAACATTGCATCATGTACAATTTTTAACAATGTAAGAAAAAGAAAACTGTAATCAATTAAAATTGGTTAAAATCAAAATGTTACTTCTGTAACGATTCAGATAAACAGCTGTGAGCTAGGCTGGAATGAAAACTGGAGTTGTGAGTTCCAGAACTAGGAATTTCTTATAAAAACCTTTTAATATGGAATTAAAATATAAATTTTTAATATCAAAAAAGGTAACTGATATCATATGTTTTCATTATTATGATTAATATTCTAAAATCTAAGACGTCTTTTTAGAAAGTAAGAAGTCTTACTTTTATTGAACAAAAGAGCATCTTAATAAAAATCTTCATGAATAATTAGATACTTTTATTAGAAGATGGATAGAACTTGAATGAGTATTCAATATACTCTTCTCTATCAAATAATGCACTTGTTATTTCTTCTTTTGAGTATCTGTGTATATACAGTAATGTGAGATTTCTCACCCTCTTTTGATTGTATCTGTTCATCCTCTGTAGGAGTTATGCTTGAACTTCCACAAATTGATGGGTACGGTTTTTGTTTTCTATCACTATCCTCTGAAAAATAAACATATATTGTTTCACACAGACTATAACAAAATATTTCTAAAACCATGAAGTGTATTTTCATTACGAGTAGCACACCATCTAAAAACTGTTGTTTAGTGTAAAATTTTACCCTTGGTGCTTTATCCATGGATACACATTTTAAGGTTTATCCCAGTTAGTAGGTTTATGGAATCAATTCCAAATAATGGGCAGAAGATTAAATTCTACAAAATATATAATCATAAGGTGAAATAATGGTGAAATAAAGCACGTACTGATACTCCAACATAACCTCCATCATATAACTTTAAAATACAGCTAATTTTACTCTGGACATTTTCAATTTCAATTTTAATGTAAGCTTTATGATTGTCCTGTATATTGTACGGGGAAAATACCTATTGTAATATCTGAATCCATTCTGTCAACAGCAAGCTCCTTCACAACTTTGGGCAGAGGTTTGTGTTCTGAAATCAGTGGCTCCTCGGGTCTGAATCCTCTCCTCATGAGCTTCAGATGCACTGTCTGCCCTGTGTGTCTCAGAACCTCCACTGCTTGCTGATTAGTGAAACCTTGTATGTTTGTCCCATCCACCTACAGAAGCAATACAATACGCAGCATCTTTTAAGCAAAACCTCTTCTCAGAACACAACAGAATAAAAAACTGACAACAAATATCTTGCTCTTTTATCTGACAATGTACATCAATATTCAGAAATGAGCTTTCCCGATATTAAATATAACATTTAAATTGACCTGTTTACTACATGAAGGAAGATTTTCCCTGCAGTATTGTACAACATTAAGTGTATATAAAATAAATGTTTCTAAAGAGCAGTATTTTAAAAATATTAGTATTGTAATTAAGAAGTACTTACTTGTACTTTTTGTTGAAAGAAGAATAAGCTTAAAAATAAGAAGCTGTACTTTGGACATTGAGGTTTCAATGGCTGTATGTAGCAGGCTTTCAGTGGTGTCTTAATTTATGATCTGACCATACAAGCTACATTACCATGGTGATTGTTAACTATCCTTTCATATATTAGAACTGTCATATAAAAGCCTGTCTTACAAAACAACATTTCAGTGAAGGATTTCAACATTCACAATCTCTGAATTGTGTACACAACTGAAACTGCTACTGATACTGGGTCTACAGTATAGAATATTAACAAAGTGAGCATTAAAACAACAAGCATTTCCCAACAACAGTCATTTTACTAAGTTTGTTGTTAAGTAACACCTTTCTTTTCCTCTTAATCACAATATTGATTTAATTTGTTATTATTTCCTGAAAAGCACCATCACTGTTACTTAATAATGAGAACTGAGACTTTTCCAAGCAATACTAATGTTCATATATATACCACTCTGTATTTATCAAGCAGTATGCAGTATTTTATGCTTTGAAGACATATATGTTAAATATATATAAAAGGAAATACAGCAAATGAAAGTAAAAAATATTAAGATATAATTCAAGATTGTGCAAACACTTTACAGGTGATGTTTAATGTACACAAGTGCTGAGTATTTCATGCAGGAAGCAAAAGCAAAACTACAGATAAAAGTGGGAAATTCTGAATTTGAAGAGCAACCTAATGAAAAAGACTTAAGTATTTAAGCTAACATGTAATTGACATCATCAAGACAATGTGTGGAAGGGATAAAAAAGCAAGCAAAATGTTGGATATATAGTACAAATTATACAATTTAAATTAAAATTATACAATTCTCAAGACATTGAGAACATTTTCTACTTGGACTGTCTATATTTTGTCCCATTTAAAATATAGTGTAACATTTTGGTTAAAAAAGATTGCTTCTAGCTAATAAGTGTAGAGAAAAGCAATGAGATACCTTTCTGGTCTCAAAGGAATGATCTACACTGACAGATCAAAAGAACTGAACTTTTCCGGTTTCGAACAGAGAAGATTCAGGTATGGGAAATCTTCAAAGGTACTGACAAACAGACATCATGAGAGTCAGTGAAAACTAGACCAGATGACATAAGCTGAAACGATGTTTAAATGAGCATGGAACAAGCTACCCTGCTATGCTGTTGAAGCTGAGATCCTCCCTGAGATGGTATAAATGGGCTTAATGGCCTCATTTTTGTAACCATTCTTATGTTCCATAATAAGGAGGAAATATTGTACATACTGGGAAAAAGCACTTTCTCTAGATGCACTTACAGCTATTATCTGATCACCAATATGGATCCGGCCATCTTGCTCTACAGCGCTGCCTTTTGTTATACTTTTCACAAAGATGCCAGAGGGTTCTACAATGACAAAAGACACACTGTAAGGGACAATTTAGGGAAATGTTGAAACATTGGAACATATGAATTCTTGCTGATACAAAACACAATCACAGACAACACTAAGGCCTTTGAATGAAATAATGAATTTTCATTAATTAACTTAGTTAAATAATATGAACACATTTAATGACAATAATATTTCTCAAGGAACTTTTTAAAGGTTTGCTGAACTCTGATTCATTCTGGGCAACAGTAGTAAAGATTCAGGTTAATTCAACTGAGATCAGAGAAGGACTTCTGATCAGAAATCCATATTTACAGACTGTGGGAAGAAAATGAATTCATAAGAAACATCAGTGGATTTTAACTAGCTTTTTTATTAAGTGAAATATTTTAGTGACAGGCACTAGTGTGTGTGGAATTATGCATTTGTTTATGAAAAAAATACAAACAAATTAATGTTTTTATATATATAAAAAACATAAAAGGCACATTTCACATTTATGGTTTAACAACCACAGTTTGACCATAATATCTGCTACACAGAAAATCTAACAGATTGTAAATGGAAAAAACATGCTTACCAGAGGTTTTGTCTCCTACATAACCAGCAATAGTTATTCCCAGACCCTGTGCATTTTTGGTTAGCTCCACATCAAATGCATCAATATCATCCTCTTCATAATCTGTCATTTCACACTAAAATAATAACAAAAAAATGTTTGGCAATTGAGTTTGAGCGTCCTCGTCGAATTAGAAACAAAAGTGGAATGCAGAGGTGGGTCCTGTGGCTAATGTCTGTAAAATTCACATCACGCATGGCAGGCATTCCTCACCTATGTATCACAGTGACATAGTAAACTAAATGAAATCATGTACAGTAGTTATCCGCAAGTATATCAAGTATGTTACTTTTTTTTATATTTTGTATTTCAGTTCATGATCTGTATGTTTATATTTTAATTCAGAATAACATGTAAGAATTATGTATATTATTTACTTGATAAAAAAATGTATGTATATAAATACAATTATTTTACTATTAAATTGTTTCATGATTCTCATTTATTTATTAGATTTATAGTTGCCATATTGTATATACCAGTGTAAGACTATAAAATAGGATATAGACTCAAATAATATAGGTTTTTCAGTATTTCTAGTAAAAGCTGGTGAGAGGGTAGCCATAAGTATATTATAAATTTACAATGGTAAGTATTGTAAGTTCCAGGCTCTAATGCATCTATGGTTTTTTATGGGTTAATAATGTGTACTTTTGTAGCGATGAGGAAATGGAGATAAATTCAGATTTGATGACAAAAACAAATGTTTGTAACTCCACCAGATTAAACCTTTTTTGTTATATATTTCTGGAACATAGTGATGTTCACCCAAACCTGTTGCAATCACTATTGTATAATAAATAGGCAAATCTTAATCAAACAGCAAATTGAAAAAACATGTTTCCTAACAATTCTTGTAAACCAGGAAAATCCTCCACAATTGTTATCGTAAGCTTAAGACCTTAACGTTCCAAAAGGCATTACCATTTCCTATGCTAGTAATATTTTTACCACATTTCTCTATAGCATATGGCTACAATTACCATATATTCAGTGACCTTTAAGCTTACCTGCAGCTCCACCACTGGAGGCAGAACTGGAGCAGGAGGAGCTGAAGAATCCTCTATCGCTCCTCTTGTGATAACAAGTTTCACTCTATTACCACACTGCCTGAGCACCTGGGCGACCTGCTCACTGCCCATTCCATGCAGATCAGTGTCACCAATCTTCAGAATGTGGTCTCCGCTACGAAGACGTCCATCCTAATTGAGGCAAAAACAAAGCTTCACATTCTACTAAATTGTAGAGATAGAATGTTGTTTATTTTACAACCAGTCTCACTTGCAATTCCTTATTCCTTAGGAAAGTACCAAATCTGACAACAGCTTCTATAAAAATAATTGCTGTACCTGATCAGCTACTCCTCCTTGCAGGATAGTTTTCACAATTACACCAGTGCTTTTTCCTCCCACAATGCCAAATCCCAAACCCGTGCCATCATTCACCAGCTCAATTGTTTCCATGTGCTGCCAGTGTGTCTTCAGGTTTTGATAGGAGAGTAATAAGAGATTAAAAAGGTAAATGCAGAACACATGACATTATTGTAACAGTCATTATTTATCATTTCAGAATCATAAGTAATAATCTCAATTATGAAAAACCTCTTCTTTAAAGAAAGGACAAAAGAAACAGGTTTCTACATAATTCTACATTTAAGAAATGATCCTTTTCCACTACAAATTTTATACTACTGATAACAACATTTGTAGACAAACCAAAATAATACGTATCCTTCAAAAAACTAATGCAAAACAAAAGAACAAATGTGAGAATATGTATTCAGTGAGTTCCTACCGCGCTGGAATGAGCAGAGAGTGTGCTGGCTGCAGAGGGAGTCCTGGAGACCACTGGGCTAGCCAGCTGTGGGATAGGACCTCTAGCTACAATGAGATTAACCTTCTCTGAGGCTTTCTGGAGGATACTGATAGCCTCTTGATGAGTGATAGTTTGGTCCAGTGGTTGCCCATTGATGGATAAAATCTGATCTCCTTCTTTCAGTTTTCCATCACTGCAAAACGGAGGAAGTTTAATAAATGAAATATTGTTTCTCTTATTGTAAACATACTTGTTAAATGTTATATCTAGGGCTGAAAACATGCACTCTTTAAAGTCTGATGGTAAATAACTAACGTGATTAATGTGACGCTAGCTAATTTTGTGTTAATTTATGGCACATACATGACATGTATAAAGAATGAATAACATGTATTTCATATTCCCTTTATTTTGTGAACCACTGTACTTTGTGTTTGTATGGGAAAAATATTTTTCAGTTACATTTATTTTTCATGCATGAAAGAAAGGGAAATGGAATATGAAACATAACAACAAACAATTGCAAAAATTACAACTTTTTTTTCTTAAGGTAAATTTAAAAAAGCATGATCACATTTTCAGCCATGCTTACTTACCAGTGTGTCACACTTCCTGGCTGGATTTCCTGTACAAATATTCCCAGTTCTCCTCTGTTTTCGCTCTTTAAACCAACTACACTGAAGCCCAGCCCTCCGGAGATTGGCTTAACCAGCTCAATATGCATTACATACCGGCCCTGTTGAAAGGACAGCAAAGTACTTGGTATGATGGTTTATTAATATTATAAAGTCATTGCTATTGTCTTATTAAAACAAATGTTCTTTTCGTCAAAGCAGAAGAAAAAAAAACAAAACAGAACATATACATATCAAGACATAAAAAATAGGAACTTATACGATACAAAAAAAGGCAAAAACTATCTTCATCAGAATGATTCAGCAAATGAATGCAGACAAGTGTGTTTTAAGTGTATCTCAGTCTTCACCCATACTCATACCACTGACTTTTCAGCTGCTGTTATGTCACCAGTTAAAAATGATCTGAGCCCTACCTTTGAGAAGGAGCAGTCGGGAGCAAAGTGACAGAAGTCACACCATTCACATCAAAGATAAGTTTTGTTACACACTGTATTTGCTAAATCACATGTCAAGAGAAAATTCCCCAAACAAGCATTCAACACATCAAAACACGTTCATGTCTAACCTATATCCAGAAGAAAGTCATGTTGAAAAGAGATTCACTAGACCCTGGTGGTGACTGCTTAAATAATAAATCACAGGAAGCAAAATAACCAACAGCAGTGCCAACTGACTCAATGTCTAAGTCACTTGCTGTGGTGCACATTTTAAAAACATTATGTTAACAAACATTGGCTGAAAACTCTCAAACTGAGCCGCCAGTCCATGCTGACCCCTGCCACAGCAGTACACCTATTCCACACCAACCCTGCTAGATTTTTTTTAATACCACTTACACATAGAAATATTACTAGAGGTGTAAATTGAAGATTCTGAATACTAACTGGCTTATGTTTTCCTCAACTGAGTGCCATTAACGTGATAGACCTGAATCAAATCATGGCTTTACCAGTCATGTAATAATAAAAATAGTCTCAAGGTCAATATCCGTAAACCTGATTGTGGTGAGCGTTCTGGCGCACTATGGCTGCCGTCGCATCATCAAGGTGGATGCTGCACATTGGTGGTGGTGGAGGGGAGTCCCCATTACCTGTAAAGCGCTTTGAGTGGAGTGTCCAGAAAAAGCACTCTATAAGTATAAGCAATTATAATTATTATTAAATATAAAGGCTTCAGTCACTTACCTGAGCCATTGAACGAATTAAGTGCTCAAACTCGTCCACTGAAGGTTTGCCATTTATCTGTGGGGTAATTGAAAGCGCTGGGGTGTCTCTCTGTATACCATAATTGCCATTCTGTTGTGCTAACACATACGAGTCACTCAAGGGAAGTGAGCAAAGCCCCGGCTTAATGGTTTGAGGCAGTTCGGTATTCGGAGATAGCGATGCAGGACCTGCATCCACCTTAAGCCCACAACAAAAAGAAGAATACAAATTCCATCACAGAAAAAAAATAGTTAAAAAAACATTCATGCCATGGAGCACTCATGGCATAGTGAAGAGTGCTGATGAGAGCTCTAGTCTCATGATCATAGGGTTGTAGGTTGAAATCCCAGGTGGTGATACTGTTATAATATCCATGAACAATATACTCTCCCACAAATAACATAAAATTCACAGAATACACATTTTCTACAAAATTTCAGGATCTTCTTTCTTTTTAGAAAACAAGACCAGTTCATGAAAACAATGAAAGGCTTGATGGTTTATCTTAAACTGTTGTTGAATATGCTATTAAGAATGGTTCTCATTTCCTACAGTATGTCATAAAACCATTTTAATATTCACAAACCATATTCTCCAGCTATAACATTTTATAAAGGAAAGACAATGAATAGATAAATGTGTGTTAAAATACACTTTTAATTGTTGAATGTTTCTGTAAAAATATTTTTTATGTACGGGGCATTATTCCAGGCCTAGGTGAAAAGGGCATTAATTGGAAACATCTATACTGTACATGTATAAAAATGCTTTAAAAAACTTTAGATGTAAGAACTGTAAATAAAATAAGTATAATTTATTTTTAAAGCTTGTCTTGCAAATCTCTCTCACTTACAAGACATACTACACTATATAATAGTGTACTTAAAAAGAAAACTATCCCATATAAAAAATAGTTACATGTAATTTAGTTATTTCACAATTTTTGAATCTGTGGAATTTGATTAGTTCGACTTCTGGGTTTTGGGGATAATGTTTTTTAATAATTATGGAAAATCATACTGCTTCTGTAGCTTGCTCTAAGTCTTTTATGAAGGTGGATTCTGCCGAATATGTGACAAGAGAAATGTAAGGCTTATGCCTGTCGTACATGTGGGTTTTATTGGCCAGCCAGGATAAGCGGATTAAAGGCCCAGTTTCATTCTTGTGCATTTAAGGAATTGTTTCTGCCCCACTTCACATAGTACAGCTTCCCTGCCATAGCTCTGAGACGGATGTTGCCATGGCGATATTTAGAAGGAGTTTGGCCAACTGGCCCATGTAAACAGCCTAACTCCTGGTCTCTGAACAGGAAATAAAGCACAAATTGAATCTTTTTTTCTAAATTGGTTCTGCTTAAAAAAACAACAACCAATGAGTCCCATTTTATTTCTAGTAACATAGTAGTTGGGGCTGGAATTTTAATTATATATATTTTTTCTTACAATTAAAGCTCCCACCCCTTGAATCTAGGCAATGTTAAAAAAGAATGACTCTGCAGAGCTGGAGAGCTGGTAGAACTTTGGCAGGATTAACTTAAATGATATGTTACTGTTCTATTTCTTGGCTAAAATACATATACACATAAACATATATTAAGTTTCTACAAACCTTTATAAAATGGACTTTGATTATTGTTAAATATAATGGTATGGTTTGGTTAAACTATAGGTATACCATAAATTGTATAAATGGTAAAAACTATTTAAATACAAATATAAACATTGGATTGTTGAGGTTGCAGATTTCTAAACTATACAGAGTTCCCCTCACATGACCAAGTGAATTCCTCTTTCTCAAATGTCCTTTATCAGCACCTCCTACAACATTTCTGGCATAGTTTCACCTCGGGACACAAACATTCATGGAAAGTACTGAACATCTTGCAGCATGTCTGATTTGACAGAACTACTTCACCACCCTGGAAATGTTAAATAGCAATAAGTAACTACAGACATGGAAGAGTTTTGTTTAACTGAATCTATTCATTATGTAATCTACTTATAACTAATGTGATTAATTCTTACTAGGAAATCATCCATATTAAGTACATCTATCAAGATTAAACCCAGTCTAATTGAAGCTAAAATAACTGTTAGTGCTTAAAGGGCAACAAAGTAAAATAATAAATCTCACAAGTGTAAACGTTTGATGTGGTAAATTAAAACATTATTTATATTTTCAGATGGCTCATGCATTTACATATTTTGAAATGTGTATCATTTCATGTACTCATGTTATGGATTTTAAATATTTTGTTGGCTCATGAAAAATAATTCTATATAGTTTTACATAATAAAATAGACCTTCCTCTCACTCCAAATGTAGCCACAAAACAATGAAAAAATTGCCACCCCCATGGGAAGAAGACAGCATTTTTACCTATTCTGCTAGAATTACTGTCAGGATCTTGACTCAGTTCAAAGAGTTGAATAGGCTGATGAACTACTGTGTTGCCTTAGCGTTAAAATTTACCAAACCATTCCTTTTCTGACACCTTTCTACTGTTAAGCTATTACATGTCCTTTCCCCTGCTGTGATGCCCATGATGGGCTCTGAGCTCCCTGCTTCAGACACAACTTCATTACCAAAAAACACCAGGACACTTGTGGGATAGTTAAGTACCAGACCACACTGCTGAAGCAGACAGGAATCTTAAAACGTCAAAGACCTTCCTAGGGCTACCTAGCCCCCTTGGCTTGTGTCTATTATACCTGCAAACTTAACTGATGTAGCACCGTGTCCCAGACAGTGAGAAGGTGTCAATTTTAGTTGCCCCTATCACTCTGGATTTTACCTTCAATCGTAGTGCCTTATTGTTGTCTTTGGTGATAGAAAATATTATTACCCAACCAAAGGCCTCACCTTAGCCAACATTTCCCACCATCCTTTCCATGCAGCAGCACTGCTATACTTTCCCATTGGTTGGTGGCTACTCTTTAAAATGAAAGGAAACGTTAAGATACCCCAGTTACCACACTTTCCTGAAAGAGAAGAGAAGCCACCAAGCTCCTTGGGCCACTTAGCAGTCCCTGTGCAGGGTTCGTAAATGCAAGAGGAAGCCCTGGAGGTTTATCACCTCAGATGGAGATAGGGCATCATACTCCTGACTGGCCTATCTGCAGCACTGGTATAAATGCTCAGTCCTCAAGGAAACCCCACTGGTTGGTGGCAACTCTTCTCCTTCAGGAAACGTGGGTTGTAGGCAAACTAATTTACTATTAGTTTGCAAACTAGTTACTATTACTAGGAAATACATGTCCAAAGTGTTGTTAAAGTACTTTGTTTATATGCATATGTTATATTTCTGTATATGATATTTATAAAGATTCATATTATATTATAGAATATGTATATTTGTATTACTGAATATAATCATTATTATAAAGTACTCTAGCCAGACTATGGTATTACTGCATATGAACAATGTACAGTATGTGTTTTGCCTAATAACAGACAGTGATATCAGAAGGGAAAACAAAAATATTATTTATATTATTCTGCAATATATTCACTGCTACGTCATTTACCTGCATAATCCTCCTTTTTGTAGAAAAAGTGAATTGCATATCTCATATTAAAAATAGTAAAGTACATACTACATGTTAGACAAGCCTACCTGTTCTTTTAGCTGTTGGACAGAGGTCTGTAGTGTAAGAATTTGTTGAAACAGAGGGCTCTGAAGTACAGTTTTCAACATGTTAAGCTTTTCCTCCGTCAGGACATCACCACGTTCCTTTAGCTTTGCCTGGAGACGTTCCACTGCTTGCAAGGCACGCTGGGTATCTACATTTAAAAGTACATTAAAAGCACTGTTACACTGTGTTTAATCAAGCCAATATACTGGAGCAGACTGTCAAGAGGTGTAAGCGAATATGAAAAGTAGTATTTCTAGTGTATTTTTTCATATTCAACTGATACATACATATTAATACAACAACAACTCAGTATTAAAAATGTATTTATTAGATGTTCTTATCCAAATTAACTGACATTTACACCCATTTGTGTTAACAGAACAATGTGTATAATAAATTGAAGTCTTATAAAATTTACTAAGTCATACTGAGTGAAATAAGTGGCTCAACAATCAATAGTCAATCCTTGGTTTATGAACTTAATTCGTATACTGAAATCTGTATGGCGAAAATCCATAAATTTAAAACATAACTGTCATAGGATCCCATGACACTGGTATAACTGGTACAACCCCTAAAACACCCCTGATACTATTAAGTAGAAGAAGACACCAGATATCAAGCGTAATAGATATCAAGCATTTTTTTGACTCAAAATATTTTTTTTACTATATAAACAAACCTAAAAAAACTTGTACAATGCACTGAAACATCAGTGAAATCATATTAACTAATTAGGGAGGTATTTCACAAAGCACGATTACTGGGTTAGTCAGATAATTTTAGAAAATGTGTTGACATAGAAACAGAAATGTCTTTTGATTGCTGACCCTTATCCAAATGCTTAATTATTTCAATTTTCTAGACCATGGTTATTGCTTTTAGTGATTTCTTTGCTTTCTTAGCACCACCCTGAGATTTATCCACAGGTTTTGAACCTATTATGGAAATTGATTGCACAGATAATGCTCGATAAAATAAAATATAATGAGAAAGCATGCATGCATTGCAACATAACATAAACAAGTCTAAACTGGCTGACAAAATCCTAAAATGCTGGGAACATCTTCCAAGAATCACAGCCTCCATATGTATTCTTGCCTACAAAGACATTTCATTCATTTTAGCGAAAATGTTGTTCATATTGTGAAAAACAAAAATATACACTTAAACCACAATATGAGAATGTTCAGTATACAAATTTTCAATTATCTGAACAAAAATTTGCACCTTGTAATTGTTAGAAGAACACCATTTTGCTAATCTAAACTTTGAAGTTCAAAAGTGACCGATTTTGGCCAAGAAACTTCTGCGAACTTCAGCACCACCGAACAGCTGCTTGTTTCTGAGCTGGCGCACAACATTGTGGTGTGGTTAAGAACGTCGACATTGTGGTGTGGTTAAAAACGTCGACATTGTAGTGCGGTTAAGAACGTCGACATTGTAGTGTGGTTA